GATTCCCCGTGGGCATCCATTCATCACGGCCACCAGATATACTAAGGCGGCCGAGTGATTAGTTTTCCAAATAGATCTTGGCGATGCTCACATCTATGAGGAAAAAGGAAAAACATTTGTTATGAGGTCCGCCATCCTGGGTTTGGTTTTCCTTGGTCTCCTTTACTTCTTTCTTTTCTTTTCCTTTTGTTGATGTTCGTTATTCATCCCGTCATCATTGACCTTTCTCATGGCTCTTTGGCTTCAGTCCAGCGTATTCCGAAACCATATTATTGTTGTTGTACACGATGACCTCCAACACGGATGATACTGCTCGATCGGCTTCACACCGTTCCCCACCTACATCCCTACATGGCCCTGTTCCACATCTACCTCCTGATGATCCTACTTCGGCATCGTATATCCCTCGCGAAGCACGAACCATCCCGACCTCGACAACTGTTCATTCCATATTCATCAAGAAGCTGAACTACCCGTTGTCTAACCGTCCGGATGAACTTTGGGTCGTGGAAAGGACCATGGATGGTATTGAAACGTGGAAACCTGTGGAAACCTTTCTGAAGAACATGCACCTTACCACTGATCAGGCGACTCTACGTACCACGGCTAATCATTGGCGCCGACACTATGACGTACCAATTCAATCATCATCCTCCTCCTCTACGACTACTGCCGTTCCTGTTCTACCACACCCTGAACACTCCAATGTCTATGTTTCCCAACTTTATGAAGCAATACCGGACCAACTCTATATTTTGCAGTCATGCTGGGGACGCTCTGCGCAACATCACTCTCAAGGAACTACCACCTCCTTATACTGGCCACCATGGCGGTCTACACCACCTTCGTCACCACCGGCAACATTACAACGTACTTTACATCTCACTCAGCCTACCGTCCCTCCTCAACAAGTACAAGGTCCACTGGATGCGAACGATACGGACCCGATGGATATGTCAGACTCCAGTGTGTAATACACCACATTATTTGTCGGCACCGGAAAAGAACAGGGCTTTACCGTCTTTTTGTGACCACTTTCTAGGTAACCCGTTTCTCTTCAATTTTCAACACTTTGAGCTTTATTCCTTGGTCATTATTCACCGATTCTGCAGCTTGGGCTTTCCGCTTTATCTTCGACACTCGACATTAGATGCCATGGCTCGTTCTTCTCGACCCAATCCATATCGCGCTACATCAACGATTGAGACACCGCTGGGTACACGAACCATTGGATGGTTTGCTGGACATCGAGGCATTCCTGGTGATGCAAACCCTCCTCCAAACCGACCTGTTCTTATCCTGGTTGACTTCTCTCCTCTACAGGCATTGACTCATCATAGCGAGCCTGACCGTGAACACTACATGGCTATGGCCAGCTCCAATTTCAGAAATGTTAGTGGCTACGAACTGGAGGCTCTATTTACCTGGTCACGTCAGATGGAACCAGTTGAAGCCGGCCTCATCCCAATTGCCGAACTACGCTTCTGTATTTCCAAAAGATTGAGGTCCCAATGGGACATCCAAATTGATCCCTCGAATTTGGAGTTTCGCTTTTGCGACCTGGACGGTGATACAGTCCAAGTCTCCAATGATATGACGGTCTTGCAGCTTTTGGAGGAATACCGACCTGAATGGCGACTTCGGCAGTACAATTCCCGCGAATCCTCTTTGCTCATTCCGGGTACCACACAGCCTTTTGTACTACGTCTGCAATGCTACAAAATTAGCTCCGGTGTGATCCTGCCCTGATACGCTTGCCGGCCAAAAAAGACCATACTGCAGGGTTTTCCACTCTCCCTTGACTCCTCACCAACACACAGGATTCTTTGATTCCTACTTTATTTGACTTTGTGCTGTGGCTTCTCCGCCGTAATTGAACCGCTTGATTGGAGACTGGACTTCACTTTTATTTTTTCTTTGTGAATGTTATCTTTTTCGTGATTGGCTTATATTTGCAATTCTTGATGCCTCAGCCGCTGTTGCACTATTTCTCGCATTTCTAACTGTTTCACCCATGGAACACAAACGAGACGCGACCGTGGCGGGCTTGTCTTGGCCTTCGAATCCTACCCGTGGACTCGCTCCTACCAACCCAGTTCAAGTATCAGACGCCCAGACTTCTGCACTATCAGGCCCTCCCGACACTACTACCAGCCCTACGTCGGCACCTCTGGTCAATGACAGTATGGCTCCTGACACGGGTACTATGGCCCATTCTGATACATATTCAGGACCAGCACCTCCTGGCGTTCCTTTTCCGACGGAGTCAAGTTCTACACACAACTACCTCCATCGTGCTCAATTCTCTTCTCGCGTGGTTCACCAGATCCAATTCAAGGTCATTACCCACTCCAACAACACCAGGGAGCTATTCATTGAAGAAATCCCCTTGTTAGGGCATTCCCGATGTCGTGACCCTGAACACTATTTTTATGGTCTTTCGGGCAACTGGGAGTGGTCCCTGCGCACAGCGGACTATTGGCGACATCATTTTGAGATTCCCCTTGTACACGGACACCATCCTTTTCACAATGTGCCCATTGAGACGACATCTCCTGGAGATGAACCGAGCCTGACCACCCGGATCCATGAATTAGCCAAAGATCTATCTAATACCTTGAAGGCTGCTACGGCATCTGGGGAATTCGATCAGACTTGGGCGATGGTTGAACGCATGAGCTTCCACGATGCTATGGAAGTCCTTCTACAAGCTCCGAATTCCTCTTCTGATTGAAGTGATCGCCCGTTTGTGCATTAGGTTCTTACAGGTTCATTTTCACTGGTGTATTGCCGATTCCGCCAGCGAAGTTCTTCCAAAAAACCAACCTCGCTACATGCGAGGTGTGTGTGTGTGTACCATCTGAACAGATGTAAAACTTCTGATTGGTTTTCACTAATTTGCAGGGGAGTGGTGAGCAATGATGAAGTCACCACTCAACGAAGACGCTTCATCATTTGCTGTGATATGACGAAGGGACGCCTTTGTCACGTACCTGCTTTTTTCGGACATAGCAAGGGGCCAAGCTAAGAACCCCAACCACAATCTTATACAATTTGCTGCACTGTTGTCGCAATCTGGAATTACTTTTGGTCATTTACTATTGATTCAGTTGCATCAGAACCTTCCTCAGAGCAAGGACGTAGAAAGCACCTATGTATTATTTTGTTTACATGGTCGCCGACAACATCGTCGCCGATGGTATTCATCTAAGTTTCGCCGACGTTATTCTTCGCCGATGGTATTATTACTGGTTTATTCATTCTTTTTGACGTCGATTCTGAACCCTATGACCATTCTGAAGTACTTCTATTATTCGTAGGATGCATTGTTAATTTCGGTGTTTCGTACTTAATCTGCATGTTTCAGGATTCAGTTCCTGCCGGATCATATAATGATCCATTCTTGTCTAGTGTGTGTGTGTGCGGCGGGTGCGGCTGCGATCGTACCGGGCGCGAATGGGTTCCCCCTTGCATGGTGTTCTGCAATATGTCGTCGTGCATGTGTGTGCATAGTTAAAGGACATGATGAGGGGGCAGGAGCCCCTTTTAGAATAAATAAAATAAAAATAAAATGAAAATAAAATGGGTCAGACCCCAGCATTTATTTTGTGGGTGCATTTTATTTTTTTAGGTGCCTAACCCATCAAGTGAACTGACAGAGATAGCATGATAGCAAAGATGCACAGCTGTGAACGGTCTGATCATTTTATGAAACGTTCCAGAGATATGTTGGAGGTTGGGTCTTGCCATTTTGGGAGTTTTCGGGTTTTCCTTCAAAGATGGTTAAAAGAAGAAAACAAGACAAAACAAGATCAACCCAAAAGAAAATGCCGGAGCCCGAGGTCCAACAGTTGCATAACGTAGGTCCAACAGTGGCCAGGTGGAGGGTGCCTGACGTCATTTTCTTTTTGTACCTGTCCATTGTATTTTGCTTGGGTTTTCCTATCTTACCGTATGCCCTCTCATTTTATTGGCATTTTGTCCTTAGGCCCCTGCATTTTATTTTATTTTTAAAGGGGTTCCACCCCCCCTGGCAACAGACGAGGGTGTTAAAGGGATGTTAAAGGGTGTTTTGGAATCTGCGCTTGCAGATCGCAGTGCCATGGCTGCATGATTGTTGTCGCGTTTTGGTGCCATGTGTGTCGAGGCATGCGGGTTAGACACGTGATGCTGCAAAACGCACTGTAATGGCTGCATGACTGTTGCGTGGGGTGCGTTTTGGGGAGGAAGCTGGAGCACGAAACCTTGTGTTTTTCTGTGTAAAGTGGCTGCAGTCAGCGATGAAGGGTACGTTCTGTGTGCGGCGGGTGTGGCTGCAATCGTTCCGGGCGTGAATCGGTTCCTCCTCTGTGTTCTGCAACGGGTGCCTGTTCGTGTGTGCGTCGTTCCGTGCGTTTTTTGAATCACTGGTTGCATATTGTAGTGTTATGGCTGCATGATTGTTGTTATGTTCTGTTGCCATGTGCGTAGATACGCGCGGGTTAGCCACATCATGCTGCAAACCGCATTGTAGTGGCCGCATGGCTGTTGCATGGGGTTTGTTTTGGGGAGGAAGCCGGAACGCGAAATCTTGTGTTTTTTCCGTGTAAAATGGCTGCAGCCGGCGATGCGGCTGCGGTCGTTCAGGGCGACGAGCCGGTTTCTCCTCTGTGTTCTGCAACGTGAAGGGTGAAGTCTAAGCTTTGGAACGCAAAGCATTGCTTGGTGTTGCATTGGGCCGGGGTTGCGCGCAGGTCATGTTCTTGGACAAGAAACACATGCACGCATGGGCCTGGCTGGCGCACGGCGCATGCAAGTTCTATTCTATAGGTGAGAAAGGTCTTATAGCAACTATAACCCTAAGGCGGCTTCCGCCTCGCCTCCTGCGGGTACTACTGGCATACAAATTTTACGAGTAATAGCGTGATCGTCAATGCAGCAAATCGAAGGCTTCTGAATTGGGTGGACCTACCTATTGGATGATCACACATATGCCGCATGCGCCTGGGCCCAAGCCAGAGGCAAGTTGCTGAGTGGAAGTGGGATGTTGGGCAAGTGAGGCAGCAGTCAGGGACAGAGTTTCACCGGTGGCGAAAAGGCCCAAAGAATCAGTCTTCAATTTGCAAAGACCACATCTTCAGTGTCAGACATTTTAGATTGCTAGGAAATTGCGGGTTCCAATATGTCGACATGTTTCAATGGTGTAAATCATAAAAAATGTTTGGGATACAGCTGGAGTACCGGCCTCCCATTGTCTCCCAGGTTACCTGGGGATTTGGAACATGGGCGTAAGCATCCCCAGCGGAAGGATCTGAAGAGGTGATGGGACATGATGAGACATGTCTTTTAAGCTTTCAAGTGACTTTAAGTGATTTCAAGTGTTGGTTCTAAAAAGCAAGGAGTTGTGCAAGGGCACTTTGATGTCCACAACGGGCATCCGTTTCACTCTAGCCAAATCCATAGCACCCCATGCAGTCACGCTTCGGAAAAGACGTGCTCCGGGCAAGCTGAAGGAGGACAGAAAATGGAGCCACAACTGGGTTCCACAATGTTTTTAAGAAGGGCCTGAATGAGAAGAAAACCGAACGGGCTGCCAGGCGAAACACAAGTCAAGCGGAGGAGCGGTGACATAAGATATTAGATAGCTTATCCACTTTTTTTTTAACCATGATGCATTGCATCCTGTCTCTAAATCGGAGGCAGGTCAAGAGAAAGACGTCAGCCACAGAGTTTGCAACGCTGCGTGTCGCAAAAGGATAGCGATCAAAATAGACGTAAGAGTGAGTAAAGTACAGGTATGCAGGGCAAGTGACCCCATTCTTTCAACATACTTAACACCTTTCCGTCCCCAAATGTAACATCCCAACAGGTTTACGTGTCCCACACGGTTGACTATGGTGTGTCGTGCTTGAGTGTTTTTTGGCTAGGTCTGAACTTGACCACTCCATGTCCGAAATTGCCAGACTCCTTGAAAGGCAGGGGGCTCCAAACTAAACACTAGCAGCATTTGTCATGTTTTGGCCACCTGCCTTGCTGCTGCCCAGGGGAGACCTGCCGAAATCCATGGTTGCCACTGCGCGCGGTGTCTGGAGATTTGGGTAGTTTGCATACGGTGAATGTGAGTCAAGGCCCCAGGCCATTGTGGCCGGCTCCGGCTGGCTGTGGCCCGCCGTGGCTGGAAATTTGATGCCACTTGTGCTTTCTGCGAAGCCACTTGTGCTGCGCCACAGGTGTGCATCCTTTCCGGCTGTGGAGCATACTCTTCTTGATCCTCACATCCTTGCTGACGTTGTCCATCCTCATCCATGACATGGGTGCAAGTGTGTCTGTGATCAAATGCGCGGAAGGTGATTGCGTTGTCTACCGTGCTAAATAGGAAGTGCGAAGCCCTTCTGCCCTATCTCCTTGCAGTGCAGGACCTTGCATTGCTTGAGGAAGACCAGCGACCATTTATTCTGTTTTGCAGCCTAGATGATGCCTTGGCAGGATAAAGCAAAGCAATGAGAAGCACCTAGGGCCCTCGTGTACAGTAGTACTAAGTGGACCTTCCAAGACTTCCCAGGTCTATTCCAAACATGAAGTATGCCACTCCCTGCTTATGGGATTGCTTGACATGCCAGGATCTCGGTTGTGCCAGCTTCACAGACCAAATTGATTCAAGTGGAAGTTCTTTACTGCTTACTGCAGCCGCGGTGCTTGCCTGTTGGCCACCTGAGATACCTTGGCCAATGGTAGTTGAGGTGTCCGTGGCCGACTTCGGGCGCCCTACATGTGGTCCCAGAACCGCTGCTTCCTCGCAGTGCTGGCGAAATGCTCAGCATGATGGGGTGTGTGTGTGTGTGTGGCCATGACACAAGAAGGGTGCCGCAGATGTTCAAAAAAAAATTACTCTACTTCGTGTGATCCCCACCATGACATGTCAGGACGTATATTTGGACATATATTTAGTATATTCTGACATCCTATCTGACATATATTCTGGCATTCTATCTGGCATATATCCTGACATTCCACCTGGCATTCTATCTGGCAGTCTATCTGGCATTCTATCTGACATATTTTCTGCCATTTCATCTGACATATATTCTGGCATTCTACCTGTCATTTATTCTGGACATATATTTTGGCATTCTATCTGACATATATTCTGGCATATATGTTGGCATTCTATCTGGCATTATATCTGACATATATTCTGACATTCTATCTGACATATATTCTGGCATATATGTTGGCATTCTATCTGGCATTATATCTGACATATATTCTGACATTCTATCTGACATTCTATCTAGCAGTCTATCTGGCATTCTATCTGGCATTCTTTCTGGCATTCTTTCTGGCATTCTATCTGGCATTCTATCTGGCATCCTATCTGACATTCTATCTGGCATTCTATCTGGCATTCTTTCTGGCATTCTTTCTGGCATTCTATCTGGCATTCTATCTGACATCCTATCTGACATTCTATCTGGCATTCTATCTGGCAGTCTATCTGACATTCCTACATGAGGTCCGGCAGGGAACACTTGGCATGGATACTCGCGGTTGAGGTCCGGCAGGGAACACTGGGCGCGGATGGTCGCGGTTGAGGTCCGGCAGGGAACACTGGGCGCGGATGGTCGTGGTTGAGGTCCGGCAGGGAACACTGGGCGTGGATGGTCGTGGTTGAGGTCCGGCAGGGAACACTGGGCATGGATGGTCGTGGTTGAGGTCCGGCAGAGAACACTGTGGATCGCGGGTCGCAGTTGAGCAAGGACGACGAGGACGACGAGGAGGACGAGGAGGAGGAGGAGAGGAGGACAAGGCAGGAGGAGGCGGAGGAGGAGGAGGAGAAGGAGGAGGAGAAGGAGGAGAAGGAGGAGGAGGAGGCAACTGACATAAAATCTAACAACCCTCACCTGGCAGGTGGGGAATAAATGGACGTCAAACGGATTCAAAAGGCTTGCGTTGATCACAGGAATGCATTGGCTTGAGACTCGAGCGCAACGCATGCATCATTTGGTTCAGACTTTTCAAGCCAGTTCTTTTAAAAAAGACTAGAAATGACAGATGCCTTTAACAAGTCTCAACATGGCCCGACTCGCAGGTGATGTTATGGTCGCTGCTTCAAGCCGTGGCCTTCATGGCGGTGGAGCCTGGCTGAATTGGCTGCGGCACAAGCCCCGATGCAAGACCTTGGCAACTTACAGTCAGGGCATTTAGTCGTATCGATTGTGGTGTTTTCAGTCAATTGTCAGTCAATTAAGTTGGGGGGAGCTTCCCGGGGTCGCATCAATTTTTGGTTGTACCATGCACAAATTGGGTATAGAAATGATTCAGAATGTGATTCATTTGGTGTACTTTTTTGCGGTTGTTCCTTGCGGCACCTGTTGTCATACATTGTTGAGAAATCATTTGTGCTGCTGATCTGCTTGCCAGGCTGCTGCCACACTGCTGCTAACTGCTGCTTCTGCTGGGCTGCTGCTAGCCTGCTTGCATCCTGACTTGCCCAATAGAAATGCTCCTTCAAGAGCAAGCGGCTACTTTTGAGATGCCTGCCCGCGTCCTTCTGCAATGACTACATTCTGGGTGTTTTATGAAGTATGTCTGGGCATCCTTCACCTGTCCAAGGTCGTTTCAGATCGTTTCAGGGGTCGTTTTGGGGTCGTTCCAGACGCCTCTCATCTTTGCCCACTAGATCCGAGTAAATCCTAGTAGATCCCAATACATTCCAATGCATCCCGGCAAATCCCACTAGATCCCGGGCCCACATTCTGGTGGCGTTTCATTCTGTATGCCGGCATGGTGCGCTCACCTGTAGCTACAAAGTCCAATCGTGAGCCTTCCTCCTAAACATTAACAGCAGTGAAAACATAAGATTTGTACGACAAGTCTTTAAATTGTCTTGTTGTAGAACCCTCAGAATACAGCATTCTCCCAAGCGATTTGGTATGGTTGATGTGACCATGATGTGAAGGGGTCGCACCCACTGCCCCCCATAGAACTATGCTGTCCCAAAAAAGTTGATGTGTGACTACAGGCTTTCACTGTATAGCCATCCCAAAAGAGCAAGCTTTTAGCCTGCAGCCATCATTATCCATCATTATCCATCAACAGATGTACGCCATTTAGTCCTTCTGAACAGGTCACGCCGCAAGCGACTCTTTACATCAGTTTGTCAGATGCAGCGGCTCGTACTTCGCTTGTGGCGGTAAGATTGCCCAATCGCTTGTGGCAGTAAGAACGTTCATTTTTACCTTCATTTTGACTGCCGCAGGTGATTTTTTTTTACTGCCGCGGGTGATTGCTGTTTTTGCGTGGCAGGTGCAGCATTTCAAGACCCAATCGCTTGTGGCGGTAAGATCGCGGTTGCTTCTTTTCAATCGCTTGTGGCGGTAAAAATTTGTCGCTTGTGGCGGTAAGTGTGTGTCCTTGATGCCAGGGTATTAAAAACCAATCACTTTTGGCAGTAAGCTGCTTTGCAGCACCTGCGCGCATACTTGTCTTCTATCCATGTGATTCTAAACATTGACTGGAACCATTGCAACGCTGACGTACAGAAGGTTTATGTTAACTTCTTTCTGTTGTGCAGGATTTCATTGTTTTCATTGATGTCTTGATTGAAGTTTAGATCATGTCTGTATCCTTTGAAGGGGATCTAACAAAGAGGGTTGGAGCAAGTTTTTAGGGCGCTATTCGACTCGGTTACCATAGGTAAAACATATGGCTTTTGATAGCATTTGGTGTGAATCCAACCCAGAGAGAATGAATGAAAGGAGAAAAGAAAGACCGACTTTTATCCAGGTGGAATTTCAGCTCGGCCGTGTTTTTCATGTCTTTTCGTTTTGCAGTTGGGTATATAGAACGCTACGGTTGATATATTGGTTATAGATACCGTGGCAATAGCCTCACGTTAGGATTTACATAGAACGGCGCGACCGCGACCTGACTTGTAGCTGTTGAGCGAGCGTAGTGATCCGTGTATCTCCATGGCAGGGTTTAGGGTGGAAACTTTACTTACATACCTAGCACATCATCATTAACCTTCTTCTCCTCCTCATCATCATCCTCCTCATCATCATCATCGTCATCATCACCACCTTCTTCCTCCTCATCATCATCATCATCAACATCGTCATCGTCATCGTCATCATCATCATCATCATCAGCTTCAACATCATCATCATTCTCATCCTCCTCCCTCCTCCTCTTTGCCGTCATCGTCATCGTCATCATCATCATCATCATCACCATCACCATCACCATCACCATCGTCATCGTCATCATCATCATCATCATCACCTTCATCATTTTCATCTACACTCTAGTACTTTTTGTACTTGCCCCAAACTGTTTGGGGTATCTTGCTAATACATGGTCCTCGTTTGTTACGTGTGGAACTGCCCGTGGTGCAAGATTCAGAGGGTGGATCGTGGGAGGGGGAACGAACTTGCAAGCAAATTTGACCAACTCAGCATTTATTTTTATATAACCAGTAGATTATGCATTTTGATACGTACAACGTACATAGCTACACATAGCAAGTAATACCTACCCCACTCTGCCTTACTGCTGTAGCTATTCCGTTCGTACCGTCAACCACAGAACAGTAGCTGATGTGCTGGTCTTGATTCCCCCATCCATTACTATCGTATGCATTTCCGCCTCGCCATTTGTTTGTTTGACCCGGTTGGTGTGCTGCCGGCACCCTCAGGAAATTCACTATGATCCCCGTTATTTTATTTCTGCAAATTTCCCCCCACCATTTCCAACCCCCCACCCCACCCCACCCCACCCAGCCGTAGCTGATGATGAAGAGCAGTGCCTGTTCCCGTGCCTGTGTGTGTACAGGAACATGAACGTTATTATCCCACCCCACCCCACCCCGCCCCAGCAGTAACATGAACGTTCCGGAATCTTACTGCCGCAAGTGATTCTTGAATCGTTTTACAAGAGTCTTACTGCCGCAAGTGATTGATTCTTACTGCCGCAAGTGATGGAAAATTTCACTGCCGCAAGTGATCGAATCTTACTGCCGCAAGTGATGGTTGAGCCGATGCAGCCAGGTCTTGTATCCATTTTCACTACTGGTGTGCCTAGAGCTCAGTCTCTGCAGATGGACAGCACGGAGCTCAAAAAGGTGATTCAACCCATTGCCATTGACGTCGTCCAGGCATTTATGCCCCCGTGAAGATGTCGCGAATCATGGTTTCTGCCCCAGTGCCCAATCATGCCAGGGCGCCTTGGACGCCTTGGACGCCTTGGACGCCTTGACTCTTCCAGGAATTGCTGGTGCCGAGGTCTTTTTGTCCTCAATCCTGTGTATCTTGTGGTCGGTGGTCTTCATGGTCACCACAGCCCTGGTGGACACGCAGCCGTTGGGGACTTGGATTGAGTCAGCCTGTGGGCGCCTGCTGGCGGTTGGGAGTCTGGGGCACCTGGTGGCAGTTGACTACGGAGTTTCTACATGATGCATCGCATGCAAGTCCATCCAGGCCCAGGTTATATATATATATATATACATATGATCACAAACTCCAAAACTGCAAGGCCCCAAACCCATGAGCTTCCCAAAAAAAACATTACATTTTGATCGATAATTTCCAGAAACCCATCATGCAAGTGCTCAGCTTAAGGTATGCAGTGCTTTGGGGCCTCTCAGAGTCTTCTGTCAGCTGTCTTTGCCTCTGCCAGTTCCCTTTGAGCAGGCAGCGGCTGAGGGTGGTGGCGGAGTGTCTGGATGCATCTAGCTCCTGTTGTGGGGATGGGTCTCTGAAAGTTTTGCTGATTCGTCCCTCTCTAAAATTATCCACACACACATATATACACACACACACAGATAGATAGATAGATAGATAGATAGATAGACAGATAGATAGATAGATAGATATATATATATTGTATACAAGTTTACGGAAGTACTTTTACATAGAATATGCCGGAATTCAAGTTTGAAACCTCCTCGAAAAATTCGGGTACGCGCGACCAAGCGGGCCCAAGCGCGCCACCCAGTGCCATGAGTGCCACGCCTGCCACGCAAAACGACCGTGGATGTGAGATTGTGCCACGCCTGCCACGTGAAATCAAAGTGGATGTCACCACGTGCCACGCCTGCCACGCAAAAGTGCCGCGGCGTCACGCGCGACCAAGCGGGCCCAAGCGCGCCACCCATTGCCATGAGTGCCACGCCTGCCACGCAAAACGACCGTGGATGTGAGTTTGTGCCACGCCTGCCACGTGAAATCAAGGTGGATGTCACCAAGTGACGCCTGCCACGCAAAAGCGCCGCGATTGTGCCACGCCTGCCACGTGAAATCAAGGTGGATGTCACCAAGTGCCACGCCTGCCACGCAAAAGTGCCGCGGCGTCACGCGCGACCAAGCGGGCCCAAGCGCGCCACTCTGTGGATGTGAGATTGTGCCACGCCTGCCACGTGAAATCAAGGTGGATGTCACCAAGTGCCACGCCTGCCACGCACAGTGCCGCGGCGTCACGCGCGACCAAGCGGGCCCAAGCGCGCCAGCCAGTGCCATGAGTGCCACGCCCGCCACGCAAAACGACCGTGGATGTGAGTTTGTGCCATGCCTGCCACGTGAAATCAAGGTGGATGTCACCAAGTGACGCCTGCCACGCAAAAGTGCCGCGATTGTGCCACGCCTGCCACGTGAAATCAAGGTGGATGTCACCAAGTGCCACGCCTGCCACGCAAAAGTGCCGCGGCATCACGCGCGACCAAGCGGGCCCAAGCGCGCCACTCTGTGGATGTGAGAGTGTGCCATGCCTGCCACGTGAAATCAAGGTGGATGTCACCAAGTGCCACGCCTGCCACGCACAGTGCCGCGGCGTCACGCGCAACCAAGCGGGCCCAAGCGTGCCACCCAGTGCCATGAGTGCCACGCCTGCCACGCAAAACGACCGTGGATGTGAGATTGTGCCACGCCTGCCACGTGAAATCAAGGTGGATGTCACCAAGTGACGCCTGCCACGCAAAAGTGCCGCGGCGTCACGCGCGACCAAGCGGGCCCAAGCGCGCCACCCAGTGCCATGAGTGCCACGCCTGCCACGCAAAACGATCATGGATGTGAGTTTGTGCCACGCCTGCCTTGCAAAACGACGGTAGATGTGATATGTGAAAGATGGTGTGTGACAAAGTTGTATGTGAAAGACGGTGTGTGACAAAGGTGGGTGTGAAAGATGGTGTGTGACAAAGTTGTATGACAAAGTTGTATGTGAAAGATGGGGTGTGACAAAGTTGCACCGGCGACCAAAACCAGCCCAAGCGTGCCACCAGAGCCAGCCTAGTGCCATAAGTGCCACGCCTGCCACGCAAAACGAAGGTGGATGTGACATGATGTGACCAAGTGCCACGCCTGCCACGCAAAAGTGCCGCAGTGTCACGCGCGACCAAGCGGGCCCAAGCGCGCCACTCCGTGGATGTGAGATTGTGCCACCTGCCACGTGAAATCAAGGTGGATGTCACCAAGTGTCACGCCTGCCACGCACAGTGCCGCGGCGTCACGCGCGACCAAGCGGGCCCAAGCGCGCCACCCAGTGCCATGAGTGCCACACCTGCCACACCTGCCACGCAAAACGACCGTGGATGTGAGATTGTGCCACGCCTGCCACGTGAAATCAAAATGGATGTCACCAAGTGCCACGCCTGCCACGCAAAAGTGCCGCGGCGTCACGCGCGACCAAGCGGGCCCAAGCGCGCCAGCCAGTGCCATGAGTGCCACGCCCGCCACGCAAAACGACCGTGGATGTGAGTTTGTGCCATGCCTGCCACGTGAAATCAAGGTGGATGTCACCAAGTGACGCCTGCCACGCAAAAGTGCCGCGATTGTGCCACGCCTGCCACGTGAAATCAAGGTGGATGTCACCAAGTGCCACGCCTGCCACGCAAAAGTGCCGCGGCGTCACGCGCGACCAAGCGGGCCCAAGCGCGCCACTCTGTGGATGTGAGATTGTGCCACGCCTGCCACGTGAAATCAAGGTGGATGTCACCAAGTGCCACGCCTGCCACGCACAGTGCCGCGGCGTCACGCGCGACCAAGCGGGCCCAAGCGCGCCACCCAGTGCCATGAGTGCCACGCCTGCCACGCGAAACGACCGTGGATGTGAGATTGTGCCACGCCTGCCACGTGAAATCAAAGTGGATGTCACCAAGTGCCACGCCTGCCACGCAAAAGTGCCGCGGCGTCACGTGCGACCAAGCGGGCCCAAGCGCGCCACCCAGTGCCATGAGTGCCACGCCTGCCACGCAAAACGACGGTAGACGTGATATGTGAAAGATGGTGTGTGACAAAGTTGTATGTGAAAGATGGTGTGTGACAAAGGTGGGTGTGAAAGATGGTGTGTGACAAAGTTGTATGACAAAGTTGTATGTGAAAGATGGTGTGTGACAAAGTTTTGTGTGAAAGATGGTGTGTGACAAATTTGTATGTGAAAGATGGTGTGTGACAAAGTTGTATGTGAAAGATGGTGTGTGACAAAGTTGTGTGTGAAAGATGGTGTGTGACAAAGTTGAGTGTGAAAGATGGTGTGTGAAAGATGGTGTGTGACACAGTTGGGTGTGAAAGATGGCACTGGGTGGCGCGCTTGGGCCTGCTTGGTCGCGCGTGACGCCGCGGCACTGTGCGTGGCAGGCGTGGCACTTGGTGACATCCACCTTGATTTCACGTGGCAGGCGTGGCACTTGGTCACATCCACCTTCGTTTTGCGTGGCAGGCGTGGCACTCATGGCACTGGGCTGGCTCTGGTGGCACGCTTGGGCCGGTTTTGGTCGCCGGTGATGCCGCGGCACGTTGCGTGGCAGGCGTGGCACTTGGTGACATCCACCTTCGTTTTGCGTGGCAGGCGTGGCACTTGGTCACATCCACCTTCGTTTTGCGTGGCAGGCGTGGCACTTATGTCACTGGGCTGGCTCTGGTGGCGCGCTTGGGCCAGTTTTGGTCGCTGGTGACGCCGTGGCACTTTGCGTGGCAGGCGTGGCACTTGGTGACATCCACCTTCGTTTCGCGTTCTTTCACACACCATCTCTTACACATTTTGCACCCAACTTTTACACACCATTTTTGACACCCAACTTCGTCACACACCACCTTTCACATACCATCCAGGGTTGCTACTCCCCAAAGGGAATTAAATATATACCCTTATACATGCAAGAGTTTAAAGAAACTATGGCAAATCTCAATCAAAGCCCTGGCAAACCATCACAATTCACGTCTGTTTTCTGTTAGTTCATCACTCCCGTATTTGGTTTGGGTCAGCAAAACTGTGCCGAAGTTTTTTGAAGGATTTTATGGTGTTTTGGTGGATTTTAGTGGGGTGAGCAACTTGAAAAATGTCCATTTATGCCGGTGATATTTTGAGAATTCATAAGGTTTTAGTGGGGTGAAAATTTGAACACTGTCCATATGCTGCAGTACGGATGATATTTTGATAATTCAAAGGATGTGAGTGGGCTTAAAATTCGAAGAAGGTCCATTTATGTCCATTTATGCTGCGGTACGGGTCAAATTTTGATAATTCAAAGGAGCGTTTAGATGAACATTTGAAAAGTGTACATTTATGAAAATTTATATTGCAGTACAGATGATATTTTGATAATTCAAAGGATTTTAGTGGGATGAGAATTTGAAAAATGTCCATTTAATTATGTCCATTTATGCTGCAGTACGGGTGATATTTTGATAATTCGAAAAAAATCAAAAAACATCTTCCAGAATTGAAAAAATACTTTATGTGCACTCCTGGGATATTCTATGTACACCGTTTTTTTTTCAATTCTGGAAGATGCCCCACAAAATTCAATTGTATATTCTATGCACGGGTACTTTCCTATATACATAGTATATGTATGTGTATGTGCAATATTTCTATGATTTTCACTCCAACAAATGGGCGACCCATGCAAGGTAACCGCCAGGTCAGTTGCAGGATTTCCAAATCTGATGACTTGCCGTGGGGCATCCGCTTGCTGCCACAGGCCCGTGGTTCTGCGCGTCTTGGTCCTCGGCACCGGTGTGTCCCAAGCTGAGTTGAGCCACCGATAATCATGCCATTGAAGGTGGCTGGCCATTGGTTCTTCAGGGCCGGACTTTTTGTAGGATATATTCACACATACGACATATTTATGTACACTATATATCATCATATATTATCATATATTATCATATATATATATCATATATTATCATATATTATCATATATTATCATATATTATCATATATTATCATATATATATATATATATCATATATTATCATATATATATAGCCTTTGTCTCAAAGGTGCATGGATTGGCCTGTAGCAGTAGGTTCTGCTAGCGCAGTTGCATCCACTCTCATATTAGCTCTCCTAACCTTTGTTCAGGAACCATTCATTGATCCACCTCGGCTTCAACTGCCTCTCCATTGGCCTCAGTTTGAATTGGCCCTCGGGGATATTCCACAGTGGACATTTGCTGCTGGGGTGTTTTGTGGCTTGCTGATTGTGCCCCTGATTGACATTTTGAGCCTGATCTTTCTTGGGTGGCGGCGATTCATCTCCTGGGCCTTCGCACAAGAGCAGCGGCGTGGTGCAAGACAGTCACGTGAAACCTCTCGGCCACTTCACAAGGTGGTTGCACGAGCAGGCCAGCTCACTACTGGACTTGAAGGTGAGAACAGCAGGTTACGAGACAAGGTGCGACTGCTTCGAGAAGAACTGAGGAATTTGACACTGAGGGTCGATCAATCAGATCAGCGAGCTTAGCGATTCTGTGTCTGCCACCTCCAGTGATTTGATCAAGGGTGTCAGTTCGGTTGGTGCCGCAAGTTCTGTACCAAACGCAGGTGCTGCAGGGGCTGAGGTGATTGATCCAGTTGGGCCTTATTCCTGGAGCTTGCGTGAATCAGTTGCTCGAGAGATTGGTGCCTTGGACGGTGAACATCGAGGTGAGTCAGGTCGTGACAAGATCAAAGGTTTGCAGAGTCAGTTTTCATTGGGGTTTCGTCCTAGCATGCACGAGGCGCCCCTTGCCATCGCGGGAACTGGCCTACAGTGGCCTCATAGCTCTCGATGAGTCAACCGTCTGTTGACGGTGAGACTCTTTCCGACCCGGAGCCTCGCAGCGAAGTGATTGGGCCGGAAGTGGCACTTGGGCCACGAGATTTTGTTCTTGCTCAAGAAGACGGATCCTCTGATCGTCTCTGCCGAGTTGGCCGGTTGGTGCTTCCAGAGTCAGGGCTGGTCACTGCCATTGCAGTTGCCGACATTGACGGCAAGCTCCTAGTTATAGTTGCTGTGCCAGAGCCTGTTTGGAATAGGGCCGTGGCAAAAAGGATTCTTCCTCAGCGAGCTCTGAACAAACCCTTGCTGTGGCTTGAAACCCGGAGAGCCGCGAGTCGCTAGGTTTTGAGGCAGTGGACATCAAGGTTTGGTTTGGTTTTCTATTTTTAATGTTGGAAGCGGACGTGGATTTTTGTGTCAGAAGAGGAGTTCTTCTATGAGTTCTTCTACGACATTCTCCGTCCCCAGGCTCACCACGCCTCTGCCACGGCCCCCCTGGTCAGGGCACAGTGATTTCAGAAGTTAGAGCTTGCGATGGAAGGCGTCCAGAAAGGTCTTCAACAGACGGGTAGGAGCCTCCCCAAAAAGAGTCTTGCGCGTCCTCTTCCACCGCCTCCAGCGAGCAAAGCTGGGAAGCCCAATGGACCAAAGGTCAGCTGCAGTGGCGAATTGCTGGAATGGAGCCAGAGGTTGTGCAGTCAGCCCCTTGCAGCGGGCATTTCTATGGAACACCTCCTGGAGATGGAGGCAATCTTGCGGGGAAAGCCCAGAAGGATAGAGGAGTTGCCTCGGCAGAAAGTGCCAGCGAAGGTGCGCAAAGGTCCTCTCAGCGAAAGCGAGGAAGAAGAGGAGGTCGACGAAGAGGGTGGAGGTGCTCTTTTAGAAGGGCCTGGCGGCCAAGGAGATGGAGGTGGGAGTGCCAGCAACATGGAGAAGGCCATCGTCAAATTGACTGCCATAGCCTCGAAGCTTGCTGGACCCAAAGACAGGAGCAAGTTGGAAGCGCTTCTGGACGGAGGCAGTGGTGGAGCAAGTGGAGCAGAGAGCAGCTCAGGTCTGGGTTCCAGAAGAATGCCGCGGTCATGAGAGCTTTGCAGAAAGTTTTGATGAAGGATCCGAAGTACATCTTCAGTGCGATGGCAAGCCAACCTGCAGAGGCGGGCCTGCAGTTCAGGGATGAAATCTTAGGCACACTTCAGATCAGCAAGAGCTCTGGCCTGACGCCAGGTGGGATCAGGGGTGGTGGATGTGTTCATGCTTATCAAGCTCGAGTCAGTTTGCCCACACTTCTCTGGCATATGATGATCAAGCACCTTCAAACTTAAACATTGGAGAGCTCTCTCCAAGAAGTAGTGGCATCCACAGTTGTCAGCGAGCTCCCAAAAGAGACTAGGGAAAAGATCTCTCGAGCTGCTACGTTGGCACCTTTCTTCACGCATGCTCTCTCTTTACGGAAACCTTTTGCTGTTCTCAAGACATAGTGCTGGTGCTGAGCCAAGCGCAAGCCTGAGCCTTGGGCCCGCCACGAACTGGAAAGACGAGCAGCTGTCTTGCATTCAACTGGAGCCTCCTTTTGGTTTTTCCATGCGTCCCAGCTTCGCTGGAGCTCTTTTTTTTAGCTGAGCCAGGTTGGAAAAGAAACCTTTTTCATGTGCAGCCGTGGGAGTCGGATGCTCCAAACACATATATAGGTATATATATATAGGTATATATATATATAGGTATATATATATAGGTATATATATATATACATAGGGGTATATATATATATATACATAGGGGTATATATATATAGGTATAAATAACTAACTAACTAAATAAATAAATAAATACATGAATGAATACATATATAAATATATATAGGTATAATATATATAGGTATAATATATATATATATTTGTATATAGGTATATAGGTATATAGGTGTATAGGTTTATAGGTATATAGGTATGTGCGTGTGAGAAAAGATCTATTCTTTTGTCTAGTTATCCCACCTTTTTGTATCTTATCTGATTTTATTTTATCTTGTCCAATCTTTGCTTCCCTTTTCAGCTTATCTTATTTTTTGATCTGATCCAACCCTATCCCTAAGCATCTATCTTTTTATCTGCGCGCACATGCACAGGACATACTTATGTGTACGTATGTATGGTATGTTTAGTAATGTTAATGTACATGCACGTGTACATGTACATGTAAATGAGGCATTCTGATTATGTACTTCTACATGCACACAGGCAGACAACCCAACCCTGGGTTGAGGTGTTGGCACTCCATCAACCTTACACTGCGTGCCCTCAAGGGGCTCCGAAGAGCACAGTGGGCCAACATGTCCAGAACCCAAGGGGTGACGGCTATGTGACATAGCTAGAGCTGCCAGTTAGAATTAATAAATTGCGGGTATCTTAGCTGCCCCAACAAAAATGTTTTTTTTGTTTAGGCAAAAGTGTTTCATGGAGGAACTGGATCGGACCCACAGGTGCGCAGGTGTTAGTTTTGACATGCAGTCTGAATCTACCAGTGCGCTGGGTGCCATGCAAAAGGTTCGGTGAACCAAATGCAATTCCTTCTGCTGCCGGGATTAGCAGGGGGTCAAAATGGAGTCTTGCCTCTTGACATGTCTTGATTGCTTGACCTGCTGAGGTTCAGTGTGCTTTATGCTGTTCCAGTCGAGGCGTTCCCTGTAGTCTGGGAGAGACCTGAGGAGCTCTGCGCGGTGCTGCATAGCCGGACTCCTGTGCGGTGAACCCTGTAGTAGTACTATATTATAACTCGCACACACGTCAGTTTGGGGTTGCTACTGCCAAAGATCGGACACCCCGTTGTTTTTGAGATGTTCTCAAGAGAGGGATAAAAATTTACTATTACTATATGTGTATGTATACATACTCATATATATATATATACACACACACATACATAGGAGCCACGTCTAGAGGGCAGGGCAGGGACCTGGCAGATGTGTGGAGATTCACTCGCTTCAGGAGGCTGGCGGCGGGCCTATCCGTTGGAGAAAGGATGGTGAGGCCAGACTGGCGCGCCTGCACCGTCATGCTACGGTTTTCCAGGGATCCAAACTCACCCATGAGCATCTGGAGTTGCAACCTGTTTGCAGAAGCTTAGGGACTATATAAAAGTGGTGAGGTTCTAGCCCCAATCACAAGGGGTATCAGTCAAAATATGCACCGTAGATAATAGTAAACCCATCCCACTAGTAACACTTATATATTGTTTCTCTATTTTGAAGGGCTGCGAACCAACTGGCAGCTGATTCTGGCCACAGGCTGTGCAGTCAGAGCCCGCTTTCGATCCCTTTTGCCTGATGGACCGAGGGTTCGGATGAACAGGTCATGCAAAAAAAACATGGCCGCTCTACTGAATAGATGGGAATAGGAAGACACAGGACAGAGTAGACTGAGTAGACTGGGACAGCTTGTGATTTTCAATGCTGTAGCTGTAGTACGATATCTTCCGCTGATCGCTGATCTTTCTAACTAGGACGAGCAACCCGAGAGTGTCAGGGTATCTCAGATGTTGGCTGAGAAGGCTCTAGAGCTGTTTGGGCCGCAATGTGGAGCGAGGTTGGACCAATAGAAGATTTTTAGAAAAGAATCGTTGGCATGGGGGATCATATTTCCCGACCATGGGAATTTGGTATATTGTAATGGGTCCAAAATTAAGATTCAGGGGACCACAAATTTTACTATATTTTTTGTAGTAACCATCTCATCAATTGATTCCATCCATGTCTATCCCTCCAGGGCGTGCAATGAATTTTCTGAGGCTTGGACCCGTGCCATCATTGCACCTGTGCCAGTCAAGGATGACTCGCGTTTGACAGCTGGAGGTCCCAGAGGTGCTAACTGCAGGTAGGATTTGTTGGAAACAATTGGATACCTTTTTTAAGAGTTTTCTGTTCAGCTTCTCACAACAGAGAGGGCTTGCATCGGCCAAGCAGATCCGAGCAGTGAATAGCTCGATCTTCTGTTAGCGGCTGAATTGTGAAGGACTTGTGGAAACAGGATGAAGCAGGGCTCGACAACTTTGAACTGTTTGTTCACCACCTTCACGGGATGTCACAGGTACAGCCCCGTCCCTGGCCGAAATCGCAAAGTAAGCACGTACTGTAGCCCCAGGTTTGGGAGCCTTACTTGGGCACGCTGGATATGGAAATTGGCTTGGGCCTTTTGTGGATCCACGGCAATCTGTGGAACTAGTACCGAGACATACTGGAACCCTGTTCTGTTTCTGTGGTGAAGCTTTCAGTTTCTCGTGGCTGCACCAGGTTGGTGTGGATTTCCGCGCCCAGTTGGTGGGGAGCCAGCCTCAGAGGGAAGCAGATCTCGCTGCGATCTGCGATGATCCGGCAGATCCGTGACAGTGGACACTGTCGAGGCCTGGGAAAAAGACTGCTCTGATTACGAGAGCGACAAGCTGAATGTCACGGACGTGGAGCCTGAACCCGCCCAGCCAGCAGGGGGTCCTAGATGGAGGTCTTCCCTGCAGCTTTTCTGCGGGTCCTGGGAGGATGAGAGGCTCCCAAAGTTGCTTATGCAGCTCATTTACTAGAGGTTATAAAACGGCAGAGTGCCCCTTCAAAATTTGGACTGTGGTCACTTCCACTGTAATTAGCTATTGGAGAAAAGCACCTTTCAAACCAAGTAGGTGGGTTGATCTTTAAAATCCCTCACACCTAGATACACCTAGTATTGCCAGTATCACAGATGGAGCCAAAGTCATAGCGGACGCTGACCGACCAAAGGAGTTGCAGATCAGCATCTCCAACGGCAGCGACGGCCTCAACGGCCAACATGGCAGCCAACATGGAAGCCAGAATGGCAAGCAAGGCGTTTGCGGGCATCATGAGGTTATATATTGTTTATATTACGTCCTTTGGGGATCTAAGGGCCCCAGTGGGATGCGAGCTTCTCCGTTTTTAAACTTCATTTTGCTCAACCAAGTGGAACGATGCTGATGCAACATGACATCCTGGTGAAATTTCAACTTAACATGGCGTGCACTTGTGCGCAGTACGGAGCCATCTCTCCTTCATAGTGTGCCATGTCCATTTTTAGTGATTTTTTGGGTCGCATGACATGCCAGGCCAATGGTCCAGGAAGGTGCAGAGCTGGACTGGTGGGCTTGTTGGAAGGCAACTTGGCAGCTGCGTTTGCTCAGCAGGTCAAGCCGAGACCTCCTCCGATGCAACACTTGCAGTTGGACACCGAAGGGGGCGAGGCCGCTGCAGATGCTGAGCTTTTTTCATTTAGATGCGCAGCAGCAGTTGACACCAGGGCAGTGAGGATGATCAGTTGGGGGCGCCAGAGCTAACATGACGTGCTGTGATGTGAGCAATCCAAGCATCTAACGGCCTCAAGATGTTCGTTAGGTCAAGTAGATTTCAGAGGTTCCAAGTGGAATCAGAGTTGATCTTTAAGTGCTCAGCTCAGCCCTGACAGCTTGGTAGAGCCCATCACGAGGCTGCAGGCGCTTCGAGACATGGAGGCACCTCAGAGCAGGCAACCGCAGGGCAGATTTCTATGGCCTTTGGATGTCTCAAAAGCATTCAGAAACTGTTGATGCTTCGAAACTTCCACTTCAGCCAGGACCAACTCGTCCTCGAATATGTACCACCGGCGCCTGTCAGATGCACGGGGGATCTTCCACACTGAAGGCTGGAGTGCGGCATGAGGATGTGGCTTAAGAACTGGGACCTACTGGGACAGCTTGGGCCTGACGCCTCTCACTATCACTCAAGCAGCAAGTCAACAAATTGGTTGGAGCGTTTCATGGATGTTCAGGGGTTGAGTTGTAGACCTATAACATCCTATAACTTTATAATGAATTCTAGAAAGGACCTGCTTTTTTTCCGACCCTTGGATTTGCCTGTCAGACAAGCGACCGCCAACACCAGCCCGCCTGGGTTCCGCTGGATCATCGAGACAGCACAGTCCAACGGATCAAGGCACTCAGCGGAAACATGGGAAGTGGAACCATCAAAGGGTGTGAAAAGTGAAAGGATGATAACAAAAAAGCATTATATATCAGGTATCAATAGTTATCATACATATACACTAAGAATATTATATAATAATGATAATAATAGTAATGATAATAATAATACTTTTACCGGTTCGGTTCGGCCGGTTCTAAATTGTTGCGGTTCTGACGGGTTCGGTACCACGGCTCAGTAGCGGTTCCGGTAGCATCATGTGATAATAATAATGGTAACATCATGAATCATGATAATAATGCTGATAATGTTAATAGTAACGACAATAATAATGATAATCATGATGATAATAATAATGGTAATAAAACTGAAAATAATAATGATCGTAAAAATGATAGCAATAATGACAATAAAAATGGTAATACTCATGATAATAGCAATAATGATGACAATGATAATAATAAGAATGATGCTGATAATAAATAATGACAATAATATGGTAATATACAGATATAAATGCATAAATAAAAAGTGAACATGTATTTACAGTTCTATCTCTCTAAGGTCCCTATCTTTCTATCTATCTTTCTATCTATCTATCTATCTGTTCTATCTATTCTATCTATCCTATCTATCCTATCCTATCTATCCTATCTATCCTATCTATCCTATCTATCCTATCCTATCTATCCTATCTATCCTATCTATCCTATCTATCTATCCTATCTATCTATCCTATCTATCTATCCTATCTATCTATCCTATCTATCTATCCTATCTATCCTATCTATCCTATCTATCCTATCTATCCTATCTATCCTATCTATCCTATCTATCCTATCTATCCTATCTATCTTATCTATCCTATCTATCCTATCTATCCTATCTATCCTATCTATCCTATCTATCCTATCTATCCTATCTATCCTATCTATCCTATCTATCCTATCTATCCTATCTATCCTATCTATCTTGTCTATCCCGTCTATCCTGTCTATCCTATCTATCCTATCTATCCTATCTATCCTATCTATCCTATCTTTCCTATCTATCCTATCTATCCTATCTATCCTATCTATCCTATCTATCCTATATATCCTATCTATCCTATCTTTCCTATCTATCCTATCTATCCTATCTATCCTATCTATCCGATCTATCCGATCTATCCGATCTATCCTATCTATCCTATCTATCCTATCTATCCGAACTATCTTATCTATCCCATCTACCCTATCTATCCCATCTATCCCATCTATCCGATCTATCCGATTTATCCGATCTATCCGATCTATCCTACCTATCTATCTATTCTATCCTATCTATCCCTATCTATCCTATCTATCCTATCTATCCTATCTATCCTATCTATCCTATCTATCCTATCTATCCTATCTATCCTATCTATCCTATCTATCCTATCTATCCTATCTATCCTATCTATCCTATCTATCCTATCTATCCTATCTATCTATCTATCTATCCTATCTATCCTATCTATCCTATCTATCCTATCTATCCTATCTATCCTATCTATCCTATCTATCCTATCTATCCTATCTATCCTATCCTATCTATCCTATCTATCCTATCTATCTATCTATCTATCTATCTACCTATCTATCCTATCTATCCTATCTATCCTATCTATCCTATCTATCCTATCTATCCTATCTATCCTATCTATCCTATCTATCCTATCTATCCTATCTATCTATCCTATCTATCTATCCTATCTATCCTATCTATCCTATCTATCCTATCGATCCTATCTATCCTATCCTATCTATCCTATCTATCCTATCTATCCTATCTATCCTATCTATCCTATCTATCCTATCTATCCTATCTATCAATCTATCCTATCTATCCTATCTATCCTATCTATCCTATCTATCCTATCTATCCTATCTATCCTATCTATCCTATCTATCCTATCTATCCTATCTATCCTATCTATCCTCTCTATCCTATCTATCCCTATCTATCCTATCTATCCTATCTATCCTATCTATCCTATCTATCCTATCTATCCTATCTATCCTAGCTATCCTATCTATCCTATCTATCCTATCTATCCTATCTATCCTATCTATCCTATCTATCCTATCTATCCTATCTATCCTATCTATCCTATCTATCTATCCTATCCTATCTTCCTATCCAATCTATCTATCCTATCTATCCTACCGATCTACCCTACCTACCTATCCTACCTATCTATCCTATCTATCTATCTACCTACCTATCTATCTATCTACCTATCTGTCCTATCTATCTATCTATCTATCTGTCTATCTATCTATCTGTCCCATCTATCTATCTATCTATCTATCCATCTATCCATCTATCTATCTATTTATCTATCTACCCATCTATCTATCTGTCCTATCTATCTATCTATCTGTCTATCTATCTATCTATCTATCTATCTGTCCTATCTATCTATCCTATCTATCTATCCTATCTATCTATCCTATCTATCTATCTATCTATCCTATCTATCTATCCTATCTATCTATCTATCTATCTATCTATCCTATCTATCTATCCTATCTATCTATCCTATCTATCTATCCTATCTATCTATCCTATCTACCCTATCTACCCTATCTACCCTATCTATCCTATCTATCCTATCTATCCTATCTATCCTATCTATCCTATCTATCCTATCTATCCTATCTATCCTATCTACCCTAAGATATCTAACATGGATGAGATGGCTAAGATAGCTAGGATAGCTAAGATAGATGGATAGATCGGAAGGTAGGTAGATAGATATATGGAAAGATAGAAAGATAGACAGATAGAAAGATAGATTAGATAGATTGGATTGAAAAGAGAGGATAGATAGATTAGATAGATTAGATAGATTTGACAGATTAGACCGATTAGATGGATTAGATAGATTAGATGGACTAGATTGACTAGATAGGTTCAATAGATTGGATAGATTAGATAGATTTGATAAATTAGATAGATTCGGTAGATTCATTCAATTGGATAGATTTGATAGATGAGATAGATTAGATAGATGCGATAAATTCGGTAGATAGATTAGATAGATTAGATAGCTTAGATAGATTGGATAGATGCGATAATTTCGATAGATTAGATAGATTAGATCGGATAGATTAGATCGGATAGATTAGATCGGATAGATTAGATAGCAAAGATAGCAAAGATAGCTAAGATAACTAAAATATCTATCTAGTCTAGTCTAGTCTAGTCAAATCTGATCTAATCTTATCCAATCCAATCCAATCCAATCAAATCCATCTATCTATCGATCGATGGATCTATCTATCTATCCATCTATCTATCTATCTACCTATCTTACCCATCCTCCCTATCCTCCCTATCCTCCCTATCCTCCCTATCCTCCTTATCCTCCCTATCCTCCCTATCCTGTCTATCCCCTCTATCCCCTCTATCCTGTCTATCCTGTCTATCCTGTCTATCCTGTCTATCTTATCCTTTCCTATCCTATCTCACCCTTTCCTACCCTATCCTAGCCTAGCCTATCCTATCCTATCCATCTATCTATCTACCTGCCTATCTATCTATCTACCTATCTATCTTTCTAATCTTATCTTACCGTATCTTATCTTATCTAATCTTATCTTATCTGTCTATCTATCTTATCGATCTTATCTATCTTACCTATCTTATCTATCTCATCTATCTTATCTATATTAACTATCTATCTAGTCTACCTAATCATCTAATCTATCTAGTCTATCTAATCTATCTAATCTATCTAAAGCATCTACTCTATCTAATCTATCTAAAGTATCTACTCTATCTAACCTATCTAATCTGTCTAATCTATCTAATCTATCTTATCTATCTAATCTATCTAATCTATCTAATCTATCTAGCCTATCTAATCTATCTAATCTATCAAATCTATCTAACCGATCTATTCTATCTAATCTATTCAATGTATCTAATCTATCTAATCTATCTAATCTATCTAATCTATCTAATCGACCTAATCTACCAAATCTATCTAATCTATCTAACCTATCTAATCTATCTAATCTATCTGCTCTATCTACTCTATCTACTCTATCTACTCTATCTTGCCTATCTACTCTATCTTGTCTATCCTGTCTATCCTGTCTACCCTGTTTATCCTATCTATCTTATCTATCCTATCTATCCTGTCCATCCTATCTCTCCTATTTATCCTATCCATCCTATCTATCCTATCTATCCTGTCTATCTACTCTATCGGCTCTATCTACTCTATCTACTCTATCTACTCTATCTACTCTATCTTGTCTATCTAGTCTATCTTGTCTATCCTTTCTATCCTGTCTATCCTGTCTATCCTGTCTACCCTATCTATCCTATCTACCCTATCTATCCTATCTATCCTATCTATCCCGTCCATCCTATCTATCCTATCTATCCTGTCCATCCTATCTATCCTATCTATCCTATCTAGCAAATCTATCGAATCTATCCAATCTATCGAAACTATCGAATCTATCTAATCTACCTAATCTGTCTAGTCTATCTAATCTATCTAGTCTATGTACTCGATCTTCTCTATCTACTCTATCTACCCTATCTACTCTATCTACCCTATCTTGTCTAGCTAGTCTATCTTGTCTATCCTGTCTATCCTGCTACCCTATCTATCCTATCTATCCTATCTATCCTGTCCATCCTATCTATCCTATCTATCCTTTCTATCCTATTTATCAAATCTATCCAATCAATCCAATCAATCCAATCACTCCAATCAATCCAATCAATGAAATCAATGAAATCAATCCAATCAATCCAATCAATCCAATCAATCCAACCTATCCAATCTATCCAATCTATCTATCTATCTATCTATCCATCCCATCTATCTATTCTAATCTAATCTAATCTGATCTAATCTAGTCTAGTCTTAATCTAAACTATCTATCTATCTATCTATCTTATCTTATCTTATCTTATCTTATCTTATCTATCTATCTATCTATCTATCTATCTATCTATCTATCTATCTATGTATCTATATATGTATACATACCACAGTTGAAAGATTGATTCACGTACAAGCCAAGCGTAATCTTGCGTAAACACGTCGTGCACGTCTATGATACACGCACTTGTTGAACATTGCAATATTGTTGAAGGATTTAGGCAACTTCGAGGATGGCCACGGGCAATCCCTTGCACATGCCAGGCGCGCCAAACTGGGCCACTGCCAACATCTTTGGGCGCAGACTTTCAACACCTGTGGGTCAAGTAGATCTCTCAGTGCGGCGGGGAGGAGTTTTAATTGCACACGCTGGGATGCAGCGGGATAATGTATGATAACGTGGGATACAGATAGATACACTGGGTCTATTCACAAAATCATCCAACAATGATGTACTGCATATATAGATGATTACCACACACACACATATATATATATACCACCATTGTGATCTACCTATAAATTAAACATTGTTATTTTCCAGTTTGCCAACAATGATGTGTGCCCTTTTCAGACTATGCAAGGCCATCGTCCTGGCTCATCGGGAGTTTAGCACTGGGGCTGAGGCAGCTGATACCAACATTCTTGACGGCTCCAATACGGAGGTGATGGGCTGCGTATGGTGTAGCTGTTAGTGTGGTTACTGTTGCAGAAGTGTGCGCGTTTTGGAGATGCAGGAACTCGTTTGCTGCATGCTTATCTTTCTGGGTGTCACTTGAAGTTGAGAGCAGAAGTTTGGATAGGTATGCCAGGACTTGCAGGAATCAGGTTGTGCAAGCATTTGCATGTTTCTTTTTGCATTTTTGTGTGCCTCCTTTGATTGAGATTCATGAGGCAAGATCCTTTGTCATTTCCCCGGTTCAATGTGCAGAAATCACCCCCCTTGAAAGCTGCAGCAGGCTTCAGCTCAGGACGATCGTCCATTTCTGGTGTGAGGGATCCCTTGGAGCCACCAAAGATTTGTGATGCTCCAAGGCCCTAGGGCAAGTCGGAGAGGCTTTTCAGAGAACGAAACTTGTTTTTTTCTTGAAAGATTTTGGGGGTACTGTCTTTAGGAACCCAGATTCATTCGGCAGCGACTCAGAAATGCCTTCGGCAGTGATGTCAGCTGGTCCTACAGCTCTGCCGCAGCATTGCCTTCGCCTTCTATCGTTGGAGGCGATGCAGGCGGCATCGCACGTTGCAGGGCCCAATGCCATGCAGAGCGGAGTCAAAAAAACATCAGGATGGGCCGAGTTTGGAGCACCAATCGATGTGGAAAATAGACAATTTTGAGCATTTATTCAATTTATTGTTTCTTTGCTTGGAACTTGTGGAGAGCAAGTAATGTGTTGTCGATATAGTTGCCAAAATGGCTATGCCATTTTAGCTCAAGTCCTCCCCTTGCGATCAAGCATATCGAAAAAAATCCGACTTCCTTTTCTTGCCCATGGCTGCGTTGAGCCCAGTGGCGAGCGAACCGGGAACTTTGGCCTCTGTCTGAGTCATCGACATGGAGACAAATGATGGGGAGGACTATTTGCTGATTGACATGCCTGAAGCTGAGGCTGCGCCGGCCAAGGCTTCTCCAGGGATCGAGATCGATCCCACCATCACAAAGGAAACTTTGGATGCCCAATTGGCGGAGATGGAGAAGATCATGGCGTCTCTTGGACTGGGCGCAAAGCAGGTGTCGGGGACGGAAGCCCACGCTCCGATCCTCCGGCGGGCTTCGTCACCTCTTCGGGCAAGGCGGCCAATGAGACTCTCAAGATTCTCGAGGAAGAGACCATGACCCTCCTCTTCAACAAGGGCGATGGCACGTTCATGATTGAGGGCTGGGAGTCACTATTAGAATCCTCTGCGCGTTTTGCCAGGTCAGTCACGCATGGGGAGCTCAACTCACTTTTGGCTATATTCCAGAACTCATCCTGGACGGCAACCCTGGTTTCGAAGGTCTTGGAGGTCTATGGCATCGCGAAGAGGGCGGCTGAGCACAATGAGTTGCTGAAGGTGCGCCACATTTCACAGTGGGGTGGATCCATGATCAACCTGCAGGAGAAGGACCCAGGGGGCGGCTCCAACCATGGTGTGTTCTGACTGTAGTGCACCTTGGGGGTCCTTTTCAAAGTGCATGTTGTGCAATGACTTGAGTTCCATTAAACTCTCAGTCATCGAGGTTGATGGCCACACTTGGCAGCTAAGGATCACTGAGGCCGGACCGACCTGGGTGTTGGCTGATGCTAAGGTCACCAAGGATTCTGGCTACGTGGAAGTGGGAGATCTTGGACGCCCTCCGCCGGGAGCAGTGTCTGGCGCTGACCAGGGGTTAGTCAGCTTCTCAGAACAGGTACCTGCCTCTCAGCGGCTGACATTGCGCCAAAATGTGGAGACCTTTGAGATCTTCCATAAAGATGGAGAACGTCCCCCACGTTGGAGGAAAGGGACGCCACCCAGTCCGCAGTGATCTTCCACCCCCAAACGATCCAGGTGGTCAAGTTCAAGGCAGACCTCTTGGCCACGCAAGAGGAAGACACAGAGGCGGCACAGGAGAAGAAGAGGCAGCGTCGTGAGCAACAAAAGGCACAGGAAGACGCCGCCATGGATTCTGAACTACAAGTTCTGGTTTCCATGCAAGAGGGAGCCCACTCAGTGCAGACATCTGTTGGGGCCGGCACGCTCCGGCGATTGGACCTCCAACAGTTCAGGAACTTCCTCAAGCGGAAGCACGAAGAAAGCGGGGTTACCAACCGGGCCTTAGATGAAGAATTCAGGGCGCGCAAAGCTTTACTCAAACCCTTGGAGATTGCATCCTTCTCTTTGTGGCCAATGGAGTTGCAGCAAGCGTGGCAGGGGAACCTGTTTGCTCCCACTCAAGACCCACAGGGCCCCGAGCAATACGACATGGGCAATCTGAAGACGTCGTATCTCCAGATGAAGGAACTGCTGAAGGACAATCGTTGTCCTCTTGAAGGTCATCGTTTGATGTAAGACCTTCCCCAGACTCAGCTGGACATGTACACGTACCCTGAAGGAACAGAGAACTCACTGGAAGGACGCCTTGCTCGCCTTCTACCTGAACACAGCACTGAACGAAAGATGGCGGTGCTGGACTCCATCCTTCAGTACCACAGTCCGAGCCTGGGGAGGAGATTCGGAGCTCCGTGAGGGGCCTACGCAGAGAAGGAAGTTCTGGAGCAGATCCGGGAAACGGCCAGACATGGATCAGATCATGGGCTTCTTCTGGGCACCGGGGACGGCAGTAGCCCAGGGCACTGACCAAGCTGATCCATGGAGTGGTTGAGCATCGGTGTCTAGGTCCTTGCAATGGGTCTACACCCACTCCAGATCCTTGCAAAGGGTCTCAGTGGCGGGGGCACCAGGCTCGGCCTTCTTCACCGCACCCTAACAACAGCAGGAGTGCATGGATCGGGCGCGATGGAGAGCTTTCCACGCACGCCCCCCTGAGATGATCATTGCAGAGGCCAAATGGCGACACTGGAAACCAGGACGACTCAAGGAAGAGTCGGCCACTACCCAACGGAAGTTGGAATTCCATCTTCGAGAGAGATGGGCGGAGCGAGTCATCGGCATCCTCCTTCCCTATGCAAAGGACATCCCCCATATGCGGGCGGTGCAAGGCAACAAGGTCCAGCAGGAGTACCTTGACCTCTTGGGGGACACCCGCTTCCACACCCTCCGCATACACTGCCTGTGCTTCGAGAACATCCAGAAGTTGGGGTTCAACGTGATCCCTTGGAAGGAGAGTGATATCCGAAATCTCCTCAATACCATGCGAGACCAGGAGATTACCCCTCACAAACTCCAGAGCATTTGGAACACTCTGCGGTGGTTCTCCGCGAAGTTTGGGCTCATGGACCCGGATAGCCTGGAACGGCTCAAAGCCAAGAGGAAGATCATTCAGGAAGGGTTGGTGGAGACTAACATCAAACCACAGCGTAAGGCCAAACTCCCCTCCAAAGAGGTCATTGTGGTGCTGGAGAAGATTGCTGCGGGGGAAGGAGCGGCCAACACCAAAGCAGATGGGGCATCAGCCAAGCTTTTGTTGGACAGGTACATCTGCGCGATGACCAGATTCCAAGTGGCATGTAGTGCCAGTTTCAACGACCTCCAGCACACCAGCCCCATGGGGTACAAGTTCACGGAGACCACCTTGGAACTCCAGGCATGGCAGACCAAGACCGTTTCGAATCAAAAAGAAGCCAGTCCCACTGATCGCCCCGCTCTACTCATTCACGGGCCTGGACTGGTGGTCCATCGTCACCCAGGCATGGGACAGATTGATAGCCCAGGACAAGTTCCGGGATATGGACTATCTCATTCCAACTATCAGTTCGGACTTCACGGGCTTGATTCCACGCCCGGGCCAGGCGGACAGGACGCTCCGTTGGCTCAAAGATGCACTACACCGACAGGGTGCCCTGGAAAGCTCAACATTCCGACAACTTAGCTGGCACAGCTTCCGCGTCTTCATCCCGGACTGTGCCTACCAGCTTGGGATGCCCCGAGACCAACGGCAGTACCTGGGGAACTGGACTACCGAGATTACCGCGGATATCTACACCAGGGAGAAGAGGAAGGTCGTTCAACGAGCCTGGACTGAAGTTGCTGACAAGTTGGGCAAGCTGGACCTGCCAGGCGCGAAGCTGTTCCCAATCGACCTCCACATCAGCATTGGCATCCGGAGGTCCTGGACTTGGCCTCATCACCCCTGCGGGAGAGCCCAGAGAAACCGAGGTCACCTCCATCTAAATCCAGACGCCAGGCACTGGAGGAGGGGCGGGCAGCCTCTCCGGGCGGAACGGCGGCAGCTGGAGCATATGCACCTCGTCTTCGGGACGAACCTCCTCATGGCCATTCTCTCCTTCCCCAGCATGCTCAAGTTGAATACCTAGAAGACTGGTACCGGTGGTTTTGGGGGAGGGACATCGCTGACAGACGCCCGGCACCCAATGAACAAGTCCTACTCTACGCTGAACGGAACGCATGGAGAGAGATCCACAATCTGGTCTGTGGTGGTTTGGGCCTCAAGGAAGCTATGACTCAGATCAAACAGGACACTCTCTTCTGGACTCGGGATGTCTACGAGTCAGTTGCCAGGCAGAAAGGGCATAAGGGCTCCATGGGACCGGACTCGCCAGGTCGGCAAAAGGAAAGCAGCCTCACTGGTCGCCAACTCAGCCACGCTGGAACAAATCCAAAGGGCCGCGGGGAAGCCCAAGGGAGCCATGGGCGCGGGAAAAGGCAAGGACTCTGAGTGGCCAGCCATCTGGGCCAAGGTATCGCCAAAGGGAGTTCAGTATTGTAGAAACCACTTCATGAAGAAGAAGTGCCCAGGGAACTGTGGTCGATCACACAACTGTCCTATGCTCAAGAATGGATGGGCCTGCAACGCAGCCCCATCAGAACATACCCCAGACCAGTGCCCACACCGTTGACTCCTGAAGAACACGGTAGCCCCGGGCACCGAGTTTCAGAAGGAGCCCACAACGGTTGCAACACAACACACATCCACCGCAGAACCACCAGCTGGGGGGCCTCCCCCACCTCGAGCACAAAACCCTCACCCACCACAACCCCACACAATCGGGGGGAGAGGTTGACAAGCCCCTCAAGCTTTGCCCCTGGCTGAAGTCAGTCCCTTCCAGGCTCCTGGAACGGTTGGCATGGGCGAAGGCACCCACTGCCGCGCTGCAGGGGAAGGGGAAGGACATCTTGCTCCTCTATGAGGGGCTCAAGGATGGGGACGCCCTAGATGAGACTTTGGCACACCTCCAGCCAGACTTGGCACAGAAGACCCTGGCCATCGATATCCGGCGTAAACCGGAGGCACATCCCAATCACATCTTGGACGATGGATTCTACTCTAGCCGGGCCCCGGCTGCAAACAAATGCTCATCGATTTGGGCCACTGAGGTGTACGACCAATGGGCAAAGACGGTACGCCACAACAAAATTCATCTAGACCAATGCAGGCTGGGCCAAGTGGTCCAGAAGAGCACCACTCTCTCGACGGACCTTCCCCTGCATCATTGGCAAGGGCTTGAGTGCAACCATGGCAGCCATACCAAGCCCAAAGAGATGAAGTCAGATGACTTGAGCCGCCACCCCCCACCGCTGATGAAGGGGTTGGCCGAGGCCATCATACAGACCCTGCCGAAGGGAAGACGGGCGTCTTCGGCGTCTTCAGGCGTCTTCGGGCGTCTTCGGCGTCTTCGGGCGTCTTCGGCGTCTTCGGGCGTCTTCGGCGTCTTCGGGCGTCTTCGGGCGTCTTCGGCCTCTTCGGGCGTCTTCGGCGTCTTCGGGCGTCTTCGGCGTCTTCGGCGTCTTCGGCGTCTTCGGGCGTCTTCGGCGTCTTCGGGCATCTTCGGGCGTCTTCGGCGTCTTCGGCGTCTTCGGCGTCTGCGGCCCGAAGTTGGGGCACCTCTACTGCCATCAATGGAAACCCAGCCGCACATGCCAACAGCATAGCAAAAGTGTGAACATGCTGCTGCTGTTGCTTGTGCCCGTTTGACATTTTCAATTCTATTCGGGAACACTTCAATTTATTCATCCATTTTTGGGGATTAACTTAGTTGACCTACACCCAGCTGAAGCCGATGCTGCCATTGATTTACGCGCTCCAAGATGTCTTTGGAGCATTCTGGAACCTCAATTTCGCAAAAATGTTTGCATTCTCATACGATTTTTTTTTTCTTTTCCAGAAGGTTTTGATATATGAGAGATTTTGAGCATTTCGACTAGAGTTGCTAGGGGCTTGGTCCCCTTGTGGGTTTGTGAGATATTTCGCCATTTGCTGGATCTGCTTCTGTTGTCCCACTCATATCGCTGGATCCACTTCAATTCATTGGATCATCCTAGATCACGTCCATCCGGAGGAATCGAAGTTGGCATCATTTGTTGGCTCGGTTCCTGGTTTCAATCCATCCTTTGAATCACCAATCCGCTGCAACGTTTCAGGGCACGAGATTTCCTCGGTGTCCACCCCGTTTCGGGGCCCGAAACACCAGCCACCAGGGCCCGCAGGGCGCAGAAACGCAGGAGCGCAGGGAGGCAATGGCCATGAGCTTCGCAAGTGAACGAGGCAGTGGCATTCTCTTGTCGGGGCCTTAGGAGTCTTGGAATCATGTGCAATCTATTTATTATAATTATTTTTTTTGATATATGTGCTAGTAAAAGATAGTCAAACAGATGGATGGATGGATGGGTGGGTGGATGGACGAATCGGATTTGATGGTGTGTGTGTATATATATAGAATATAGAACGATATTAGGATAAAATGGTTGTGTATGCCCACAGAAAACCAGATAAACCAACAGACGCCCAGGGCATGATCCTAGATGACCATGGCTGTAGAAAATCTACTTGGCAAGTTCAAGGGTGAATTCCATAAAGTCATGAGGTTTTTGGTCATGAGAAACTGGAACAACCAGAAAAAAGTAGATTACGGAGAGTTTTGCGCTGGTGCATGCTCGATCCCACTTGTATATCGAAACCAGTCTCCTCAAATGGACGGATGGATAGTAAAACAGGTTTGCTGCAACGCCATTGCATTCGTTTTCGTTGTCAGATCTGGACACCCAATGTGTAGCTGAGAATTATTTTCATTTTGTGGCATTTGAGATTTGAGCCGCCAAAATACGTTTGTTGATTGGTTGCACTAGGGGGTTATAATGCTTTGTTTGGTTTGTTGGGGGTTATTATGATCCATCAACCATGGAGAATGAAATCCGCCGCAGGTCGAGGGTTAGGTTGTCCTCCGTGGAACTCTCTCAGTTCGATAAGAAACCCAATGCGCCACCTGTGTGGCCAGCCGTGCTGACCAGCTTCCTCCACTGCGTCAGTGGCCGACTCAGATCTCAGACAGATCACGCAGACCACTGAGACCATTTGAGACCATTTTTTGAGCAACACAGTGATATGGAACGACAATGAAAATTCAGGTATACAGTATTTCGCATGGATTTGAGGGACGTCAGGCAATTCATCTTGCAGCGTGATAGTAGTGTCAGTGCTGAGGCCTGGGTGCTGCGCTCATGACATGGCTGAGGGTCTGTGAGCATGTGGTGAGCCCATATGTAGAGGAAAAGGACGTGAAAGATGCAGTGAAAGTGGCAGCGCAGACCTACTATGGGCGCCTGCTGGCAGTGAATGCCATATGTGAGCTGGTCACCAGTCAGTTTGTAGGGGTGGCGAGCGACAAGCATGGCCGACGCCCAGTGCAGGTGGCAGCACAGCTGGGACAAGTACCTTGGATGCAAAATGATGCAAATCACTGCAGGTACTCTTCAGGAGTGAGGGAGTCACCAGGAGCAAACTTAGCAAATTTGGAGACATTATATGACATTATATGACATTATGACATTATGCTGGGCGATAGCTGATAGAAGAGGCCCTGATATTCGCTCTTTCCTTCAGGTCATTGACTACCTCCTTGCCGCACTGTGTTTACCATCGTTCGGTTATATCGGGCAGCTGAAGGAGGGAGCGTGGTTTATCTTATTTTTCTCCCGCGGTATAGCTGGCTTGCTGGGAAACTACAAAGTCAGCCTACAGCTGCCCAGCTGCAACAATGGTTTGGTGTCGTGAGCAGTATCATTCCGACATTTCTGGACACACTCTGAGAACTCCTCGGCGGGATCCCTAGGAGGAGACAGAGAGATTAGGCGGTAGCAATGAATCACACTTCTGGCACTCGAATCTCAAGTGTTTGCGAGTCTAGAATCTGGGATGATGCGTGTCTGAAAATGCTAGGTCTGCCTTGAGTCAGGGTTCTGGGCCTGGGTATCAAGGATTTGAGCTGCTGCAGTCACGCATATGATACATAGCAGCCATAGCAATGCAATCAAAGTTGGATATCTACAGGGGGCCAGAGCCGGCGCAAAAAGGCCTTCTTGTCCGATTGATCTAGCCAGCACAACATCGTAGCCTGAGGAGAGTAGGTTGAATCATGTCAAATCATTGAATCTGTCGTATGTGAATCTTTTTCTCTCACTTCTGTCAGTGTTTTTTTTGTTGCTATTTCTTGGCCGCGAGGTCCTACACTGCGGACATCTCGACTGTTGAAGAGTGCCCTACTCGAATGGCATATCTTGGCGGAGCGCTTGTCACAGGGATGTGTGCAGGCCTGGCTATGCCTGGCTGCGCCGCGTGTGTGGCATAGAATTTGAGTCAAAGAGTCAAGCACTCACAGAGTCAGATTATTCATGCACATGTTGATTGATGTTATATGATGTTATATAATTTCTCTCGACGATTGGGTAGAGTGTTGATGGGGTGAAGAGAGCAAACTGTGGAGCCAAAGCAGTTTGCCGGGGACTATGAGGGAATGTCCCACATCTCTCCACACATTTGACGGCTGTGACAGTCTGAGCTCTTTTGGTCGCTTCCTTTGGAAGAATCGGGTTCCAGCTCACTTTTGTAAGACTATGGGGTCATGTCCCACAACCAAGAGGGTCACACAGGGTATCCCCCACAACCTCCCAAGGTCCGATTCGAAACCGCTCCAGGAAGCATGTTGGCCACCGCAGTCGGCGTCTCCAAGATCTCCTTCCGGTGGAGTTTTTTGGCGGCCACGGCCATCAATGTGGGCATCATTGCCCTAGTGCCATGGCTGCGGCTCTGGTGGATGCGATGTTCACAGGGCAGGTCCAAAAACAGGGGTGCAACATGGAATCGCTTGCTGAACATTGCTGAACCAGCTAAACCTGGCTAAACCTCAAATATTCCATGCTTATCATGCTTTCCGCCTTTCCGCATGGATCTTTGAGTTGCCTCTTCCCCTTTACCCCTAAGCCCTAAGCCCTCAGAAGCACCAGAGGCATCCAGAAGCTAAGGTCGTCGTCAAGTGGCGCGACATTGCGCCTCGGAAAGATTACACCTGGCGAGAGGCGAACCCTTTCGCCAGTTTCCATTTGCTAGGCACCAATCGGGCCATGGCCACTTGACTGAAGCAGCCAACCATGTCCACCGCTTGGTCGCCTTGATCATGTCGGTTTTAAATGGTCATTGAAGAATGCAGATTAACACTGGAAAGACTCCACCAGTTTGAAATCAAACTGAGGCGATGTACTCTGCACTTGTCTTCCTCAGCTCTTTTTCCCTCAATATGTTCAGCAGCACTTTGGTGTCTTACTGTGAAACCTTTCTGAACATGGACACTCCGACCTTCTCCGCACTTGTCATGATGTGGACTCTTGAATCTGCCATTTGCCTCGGCATTGTGCAGCCAGCACTTGTCCGAGAAGTGGGTGAAATTGCGACCTTGCAATTGTCTTTCCTTTGCATGATCGTCTTTTATGTGCTCTTCTGTCTGTTGACCCCGGAGAACTCAGCATGGGCCTCTTGCCTGAGCTTTGGCAGTTGCAATGTTACAAACCACGTCTACATCAGGCAACACCAGGCACAGCGCGGTCGAACAGACATGAACTGAACGTGCTTCACCAGGGCTTGTTGCTGCTTCCCTGTGAATGGAACTCAGGTCTTCGTCATTATGATTCTTTTCTCGATGGGCTCCATCACCTATCCCTTGGCAGTAAGCCTTGCCACCAGAGAACTGCCGCCAGAGCTGCAAGGGAGTTTGCAGGGGGCCGCTACTTGGAGTTGCAGGATCAGACTTCAATGAAAGGACTTCTCTTGGAATTCAATGCCAGAAATTATCAAGACATTGTATTTCCATTGGCGTCCTAGATTATCAGAATCATCCAGTTCCGAACTAGATCTTTGGACTCTCAAAATAGATCAAAGGACATGACATAAAATGCGTTGAATGAATCAGGCACACATCTATAGATGCCAACATGGTTGAGCTCTATTGTGCTTTTAAAGTGCAAGTCACCACGGCAACATCGCCGATCGGAAAGGTTTCCGTCTTGGAGACCGTGGCAAAGATTATTGCGCCTCTATTGGCCTCCGATGAGACATGGCAAGACCAGAGGGTCAGTGGGGTAGGATACAAGGGGTTGAGGGTTCACATGCAAAAGGCAATGGTTTTGGTCCAAAGAGGGACAAGCCTGGCAGCGATTTCTGTCCAATGTGTTCACAAGTCTGTATCGTTGTGTGTGGAAGAAACCTGCATCTGCTAGAATGCCCCCAAGTTTGCTTGCAAATGCATAATAATTCAAGTAATTTTAAGTTCTTGAAAGTACGTAGGCCAACCCCCAACTTCCAGAGTTCATTATCATCTTCATTTTTCCATATTTTTCCCATTCCAATATTTGCAGTGGCTATTTGATGCAATGAGGGAGTCTGGGATATCACGACTGAGGTGATCATTCCTGCCTACTCAGAGCCAGGGCAGTTCTATGGGATGCCTGGACTTGATGGCCAGTGATGGCTTCTATTAATTTTCCCAGAGAAATATCCCATCAGGAAATGCTAGGAATAATCTAAATAATCCCATCCATCCCCCTAATATTAAACATCCGCAAAAATGGTCCCAATTATGTGGGCATTCCAAGCTAAACCATGTTTTCTCGTGGCTGTTTAATATTGGGGAAACGGATTATTATTGGATTATTATTAATTATTGGCATGGGCATTTTGTTCGGCCATCATAAGTGCAAATCCAAGGATGGTGTACTTTGTGGCAGGGCTGTTGTTGGTACCCAGCCTTTGGCCGTGCCATGAGCTTTACAAATTGACTGCGCGCATGAATCCAGATCGCACCGTGATGCTGGAAGAGATTGGCGGGTAAATTTCCTGCTGTTGATGTCTTGAACTGAAGGCATGTCATGGATTCGCTCTGTGAAAAACAAGAGGCTGTTTGGCACTTCGCTGTGTGAAGGCATGTGAAAGTGGTGAATGGCAGCAAGGAGCTGTGTTTTGGACCTTCAACGGACAATCTGGATGGTAACACGATGTACTACCAACGCTTTCTGCATACTTCTTTTCCCTGTAGATGTGTGTGCGGGGAAGTGGCAGGAGTTGCCTCATGCTGCAGATACTGAGTATTGAATAAATTTCCAATGATGTAGCAGTGTCAGAGCGGTTAGCGTCACGAATGGAATTGCTCGCATTTTTTTGGAAAGCAGATGTGGGGGGGGGGCAGGGCGGCCGAACAAATCAGCAATCTCATTTGTTTGGCTGCAGATCAAAATAGAGTCACTTGCTCACGATGTGCATCTCAATTTATCAACGGACAGGCATTGATTGCGTGGAGAAAACGTATGAAAACGACATTTTCTTTACACATAACCAAGTCGCAGACAGACTCGTTGTAAACATCCAGTCAAACAATCAGCTGGAATTCATGCCAGGATGTTTCATTGACGAGGTTCATGAAAATCCATTAAACTCCAGAAAATATGTAGCAACCCAAGAAGCAGCGTGTCATGTCCACTGTGGGAGCCTCGGGTTTCAGTTCAGATTGCGAATCAAATCACGTGCAACACATTCCGCAGCTCAGCACATGCCTGAGGTGCGGCTGTGTGCTCCACTTCACAGACTGGCATGCAGGTGCCACAATGGATACCAATGCAAACTAAAAGATGGGAGGCAGGTAGCTAAAAACTAGGGTTTTGATGGGTTTTGAATGGTTTTGAAATAGTCTGAAACAACGTTTTTGGGGCTGGATATAATCTATCGAACACACCCCTCAGACGCAAGCGCTGGTATTGTTTGTTGCCTTGCTGTTTGCAAACATATTATATATATATAATATATTCATTTATTCTAAATCGAATCTACTTTGCAATTCCTTTGCGATTCATTTTACTTTCTATTTTCGTTCCTGTGGTTGTAACGTTGTAGGCCCTAACACTGCAGTGGTTTTGATCGGAGGTTGCCGCGGGTATCGCCACTGTCGAGAGGCTCAGACGGCACGGGGCTCATCATGTACTTTGTAGAAAAGGATTCCATGGAAACCACCATTTTGATAGGAACTCTGTTTAAGATTTATATTATACCAACAATTCAAGGTGCCACTGGTGCTCTGGCTAACATTTTGGCACCAGAATATGTTTTGCTAGATCCAAACGCTAAGTACCGGTTACTAATATTACATTTATACTGCATTTATCGAATGTCAGGTCTATTAGGAGAGCAAAACCATCTCGCAACATTCCTTATAATATGCATAGTGATCAAAGTGTCATCGATGGGTATGGGCCACATTTATTTTTCATCTAATTTACAAAGGCCAGTTTGGCAGTTTGGTTGGTCAGTTGATACTCCAGGCTGGAACCATAGCCGATATGGCAAGCATGGGATCTATGTTGCCAGGCTGGAGTTGGAACTCCACTCCGTCATCTCCATCACTGTCGTTCCTGCAGGAAACCACGGAGCCATTGTTTGCTGCAGATTCAAATGACGGTATTCGTGGACACATGGGAAAAACATGTGTTTTTTTTCCCTGTATTTTGCTGGTTGTGCTGGGGAGGACTCCCAACAAGTTCGCAGCATCGCGTCCATCATTCAAAGGCCATGGAATGAACCTTCAATTACCTTCACAACAGGTTCATCTAAAATATTCTGAAATCAAAATCATTAGAATAAAGTGGTAAGTTGAGTGATGGTTGAAAATGATTGACCACCCAGTATGTCACAACCATGGTCTCTTCCGTTCATTTTCGAGATGTGGACCATTGTTATCCAGGTTTTTGACCCCAAACCATAAAGGCATGATTTGGATGATGTTGGATGAAAATTTTTGATATTCCCGAAATAAAATGAACTAGATAGAAAGATGAATCATCATGAATCTCTCTAATTCTAGAATATGATGTATTGATGTATTTACCATCGATTATAAAGTACAATAATCATGTGTATTTTTTTAATATAATATATATATATAATATACATATGAAATAATATATGTATATAATATGTTTTTCCCATTTTTCCCAACTCAACAGGACGTACTTGGGTTCCCGCCAGGCCGGAACCTCTTTGGAATGGCCTGGGTGGACTTGGCGGAGCGTCCACGTCGGTGCGCGGGAGCCATGGATAGCCATGGATAGCCATGGATGGCCATGGAATTTGCGGAATCCAGGGATGATTTGAGGAGAATATGATAGAACAAATAACATGAACATTATATAGAATTATAATTATGATAGAATGAGACTCTTGAGACTCTTGAGACTCTTGAGACTCTTGAGACTGACACTGTTGCAGGTGCTGGGTCCAATGGCTCAGCAGGCCAGGCTCTTTTTGTGTATTTTGTCACAAAAATTTGGTCATCCTGGAGTTCCATGCTGATTATCCTGGATGATAGGTCCGCTTTGCAGGCCGAAAACTGGGCTTGAAGCGGAAACGAAAGAATGCCTGCCCAGCATTGTGTTTGTATTCTGCGCAAGACAGTCAGAAATTCATCAAGTTCTGTTTGTTTCGAGAGATTTGCGCGCATTGGTACTAAGTAGTTTAAGTTTTGCGGATTCTTCATTGAGGGTCAGGAGCCATCAATGCCTGTCATCCGCAGTTTTGGGATCGGTTAAGGCACCCCAAAATGGGTTCCTTTGATACCATACTTCTGGATCCTATAGAAATCTTGACCCAAAAAAATCCCAGACATCAGTCCTACCGAGTACTACCAGTTGACCCTCCTCCGCACCGGACCTTGCCAGTCGAGAACGCGTACTGTGCACCAGAAGGCTGAGGATTTCATCCATCATCACACCCAGTGGAGCAAGAGGGATGATATGGGATGCATGTCTTTGGATGAGTGTGTCAGTATGAAACTTGAGGTTCACTCAAGAGAAACAAACTAAGCATCCGTTCAAACGATGACATCAACCACCGCCTGGCAGGGCCTCGGCAAGCGAATGGAGATGTACTGGCCGGTCCACGACATGTTTCGCATGCGCATCCCGCTGCAGGGCCCTTGGAGAGCAGTTGTTGAGTTGGGGCGATGATTCGCGAGGGTAAATAGATAAATATACGTATAATATACATTGACATATATATATATTATTATTATAATAATAAATTAACTATATTAATATAAACTATACAGACACTGAAAAAGGCTGACTGCAACTAGGTTTAGGACAGTGACTGAGGTATGAAAACAGCCGGCGGCATGCCGCGACCTTGAGGGGAAGCAACAACCTAATTGCATTGAAAAGGCGGAGGGATGAGCCTCAACTCTCAACCTGCCGCATTTTGTTGATGTTCAATGCAAGTCACACAAGCTCAGAGAATTGGAACAGGTTCATCCAAATCACGAAATCTAGCTGCTAGATGAAGTCCCTCTTGCTTTAGCAAGGTATTGGGGGGCTGGAATCTCCAATCACATGAAACTTCATACTTACAGTAACTACACCCCCTCCCCCCGGCTGGCTGGCCAAGCTCCCTGCCAAGCTAGCTTTGGTCCCTTACACCGGGGCCTCAAGTGTTCAACAACTGGATATCCAACAGACCAGCAAGGTCATCTATGACCACCGAATGAAGAAGTGGATGGTGCAGTGCTAAGAAACTGATGCAACGGCCGGGGAATCAATCCTTCCAAATCCACCTTCAGGGTAGACAATTGTGAAAGGAGGAGCCGCAGAATCACATTGACATTTCATAGCATTTGCCAGAGATGGAGTTAACCGGTAACCGGGATTGACAGGGCACTCCCCCAATGTTGTGGAATCCAGCATTTGTTTCTGAATTGGCAGGGTAACTGGTGATGCTGCGGAGTGCACAACTGAAGGTGATGTGGTACAGAAATGGTATGCAGGCTCGGGTGCCAAGGTGCTGTAGGTGATATCCCGAGCCGAGCTTTAGCCATGTGATTCCACAATTTGCAGAGAAGACACGCCATCCTCCAAAATCTGGAGAAGAAAGACCAGCATCCTTGGGGCTGCGAAAGGAACATCAAGAGTTCGACGATGTTCGAAGCCCTTGTCATATAGAAAAAACATGAAAAAACCCTCTGCCACAAAGCAACAGATGCAGAATGAGATGGACCTTCAGTCTCATGACAGTCACGCCACAATTGATTTCACATTTGCAAGACAGAGCACAGCACTGAGCACACTTACCTTCGTATTGATCATAAATATTATGAATATTTATGAATTGTTTCTCTGTTGTTATTCTGGATAGTTATGCATCAATTTACTTGTAGCATTCATTAGCTCAGACATACAGCAGTGTTGCATCCACGAGGTCTTCAGATGGTTTACAGCGAAGGGAAGCAGCTTTGAATCAGGAGGGGGGTGGTAGCAATTGCGCACAAGGGGTTGTAGGCCCTAGAGGGGCTGCAAGTGGCAACCTTACATATCATATCTTGCATATGTCGACGTATGTACTCGAAGCTTCAAGCAATGAGTAATTAATATAATATTTCATGATCCTTTGGTATCAAGATGTTCATTTTCTGAGAAGATTGTCAGTCATGGAATGTGCATGTTGAGTAGCATGCACCACACGAGGGTTTGGGTCGATATGTTCCTGTCCAGATAGATCAGATGGGATCAGCAGCCATCCTTTCCTCATTGGAATCCGAAGACTATCAAACGAGCATCAGGAATCACCACACGCACCCTGGCACTTGAGAAATCTTAAGAACCCCGCTTTCAACTTCTATCTTGGAAGCACCATGAAGCACCGATATCCATCTGGCCAGCTCGAACCCGGGCCATCCTGTTCTACAAGCAGCTGCAACTTGGTGGTGTGGTGCTCAGCCTGCGAATTTGCTCAGCCAAGCTTGGTTGCATCTCAGCATCTCAATCCATCCCATGAGAAAAACTCACAAGACTCTGGGATCTAATTCATCTAATTCGAAGAACGCATTTTTTGTTTTCAAACGGAGAGTACAATGTCATTGCAAAGTGGTTGTCACCATCAAAGCACACCACCGAGGTAAGCTTGGCACTCCCAAGCCAGATCAGTGCCGCAGTGGCGTCCGCGGAGTTTTCTTTGACAAGCAGGTGAGAAGCCCTGTGAGCAAAAGCTGGTTGTTGTGCTCATGCGAGTTTAGCAGTTCAAGCCCCGTGTCAAAGTTGGTTGCGGATACCATTGACCCCTGAATGGAAACTCAGCCACTAGAGTTTGGTAACACTTGACAGAGATTTGCGCTACGTCTCTCGCGTCTCGAAGCATTGCCTTCTTGGTCTAATGCATGAAATGGGCGTGTCACAGATATCATGGGCCCAGCCACAAGTTACCATGACTATCCAAAATCATCTAAAGCTTTTTCAAGTTGACAAAGTTGCGGTTGAAATCATTTGAAATCCAGATTTGCATGGATTTCAAACGGATTTTAGGCAACATTAGCTCGATCATCCCCTTTGTTTCTGCATAGATCCCAATGGATCACAGGAGAAGTCCTGGGTGGCCCGCTGGAGCAACTGCGGTATGAAGACCTATGCCATGTTCAACACCGAGGACCAGGGGTGCATAGCGTCCTCAACTGGCTGTGGTTGTGATTGGTGATTCATTATGGTTCAAGAAAGGGAGTTAACCTGTTAAACTTAAAAACACACCAGGGGGGGGCTAGCCAACTAAACATGTTTAATATTTTCGAAGGGTATCCAAGATTCGATGTTAAAGATATAAAGATCACCTTTTTGGTGTTTAAGTAATGACAAAGCCCACCTAAACTGGCGATGTTTAGACCGTGCGGGCATCATTTTTGGCACCCAGACTCATGCTTGTTGAGGATGGGGGACACGGGCTTTGGCGACTCACAATGGATTTTTTGTGACACCGGGAGCCCTGGAGATGTGGCTAATAAATAAAGGGCTAGCCGATAATGGCGGCTCGGAGTACAATCCTTGAGCCGAAACCAGAGACGATGGTCCTGACCACTTCGGGGATTCTATCCAGTAGCCAGAATGTAGTTGGGGTATGTTGGGGTTGGATGATGATTTGCCCTTCAACCCTCCGACTCCACTATCTCCGGCATTGCTTTTGGATGGCTTTGGCGCTTGGGTTTCTACAATTTCTTGAGGGAAAACGGCACCCGGCAAAGCTTCCCGAGGAGATGGGTTTCCAGGAAGCATACAAAAGAGCCATCGAAGTCCGGATCCAAAACGTGCGCACTTAGCGACTTAGCTGCTTGAACTATCTTGAACTGCTATTTCTGTCGGTTTTCTGAACAAAGAGCCCCTGGCCCACAAGGCACAGGTTTCTTCTTTGAGCCCCAGCATGGTTTGTGCAGGTACGGCAGAACCATCAGTTTCTGCGGGGAGCTGAGTCATCAGCAGCACGGACCGGCTGAAACTGTTGGAATTGTTAGCTTTAGAAAAAGACACCAGCGAGGCGAAAAGGAACGGAACTAGAAAGGCCAAAGAGCGTTCCATAGAAGGACACAAACAGAGCCCGATTCAAGATGATTCAAGCACTTGCATGGGGAATGGATCAGTATGAGTCTATGCATTTCAAGAGAGGAGCTACCGGTTTGTCTGAAATTTGTGAACCCACAAAGAACTACTTTTGGGTCTCGGGTCATTCGACTGCTAACCAAGGTTTCAACGGACACGCTGGCGGGGTCAAAGAAGACCTTTAGGATCTTCGCAGACCTAATCGTGCAGCGTTCCTCGGCCCAGCTGAACCAGGGAACAAAATATGCATCTCGCCACCAGTATATCCAGTATCATCTTTTTGCCATCAATGTGGGGTGAAGTTTATGCATTTAAACGTGGGCGTAATCATTTGCCTTTATATAGTTGCTGAATATGCAGTTGCTGAATATATTGAGTGTTTGCAACATTTTTTAACATCTGAGCAGGTGGCTCAGATGACCAGAATCTTCAGAAACTTCCGAACTCAACCCCCCTGCGGGCTTGAATGTTGAAGACATTTAATTTAGAGATGAGGAAGGAAGGAAAACACCATCCATCTCAAATATGTTTCATCAGTTATCAAGCATAGAGATCGAAGCCGACCTGCTTCATCAGTTTGGACCCAGCCTTGCGGTTTCGCTCGCACAGTCGTTGCACAGTCCCTGCTGTTTGACCCATGCCGTTGCATGTGGTTTCGGTACTGGCACTGCTGAGTATTGCCGCAGGGTACACCAAGAGACCCAGCTTTAAAAAACCTTTCCCTGACCCTTCGCTCTTCCACAAGAGCGGGCGTCGCTTGGCAGCTGAAGGTCAGAAACCAGAAAGGCTGCATTTTGAGGTGGAAGATGGTGGATACCACTTTGACTATGACTTTGGAGGTATCCCTACAATAGAGAGGGTCTTCAACTTAGATTCTCAGGGCGTGGAGGGCATCTCATGCACGCGAGGGCATGCCTATCATAACCTCACGATCTTTTGGAGCAATTTGGCTGTGGCGAATGCAGCGAACCTCCAGAAGGATGTAGCAACTTGTTTGAATCTTACCATCGGCCGGTCAACGTATGCGCATTGGCCATTTCAGGATCTTTAGCAGCACCTTTACGTACATTTAGAATCTAGAATTTAGAAATCTATGGAATGTTCTTTGGGTTATGATATTTAAGACATTTAAGAAGTTCCTGTTTAACCCATGAGTCCATCTTTTTTTCGTTTGTTAAAGATCAGGTTCTGAGCTTGTCCCAAGTCTCGCATGCCCGGTCGCTGTAGATGCAAGTACGTGCCAACCCCACATAACCCCACGAGTGTTTGCAGATGGAGGTAACATGGCTCGGAATGAGATTTGCTCAGCTATACAGGCTATACAGTACTTCTAAAATTCAGCAATTCAAAATAATTAATCTTTTGGAAATTCATCACATATCCAGGAAGATCCAGGAAATCCAGGAAGCCTCAGAAGCCCGGGATCGCAAGGTGATCACTGGCTCTCCGGAGTGGGGCTGCAGCTTATCGAACGCATCGCGAAAAAGCTCTCACAGCTCTGACTTAGTGCTGCACATCCTCAAGGTGCATTGGATACCCATAGGATTGGACAACATGGGGATATCATGGGGATAGCATGGGATGCCAACAACATGATATGGGAAAAATGATGGTTTCTGGCGGCAGAAAAGAATGGCAAACCACAGGATGGTCTGAGGGACCCATAGGTACATATACTATGAGATACTATGAGTAGGTACCCTATTTTCAGACAAACCCAGTGGAATGCATGCAATGTACGACTGCCAAGGACTGCCATTTTTTCATATTTTTCCCGTAATCTTTCCAGGGCGCTCGAAGGCTACTGTCCATGTTTTCACAGTTTGCATTCGTACTGAAAATCAAAATCAAGCAAGCTTTTCCCTTTTGGTCCACATGAGGTTTCTGTTCTCATTGAGCTTACCTTAGGACACCTGCGTTATCATTGAACAGATGTGCCGCCCCAGCCAAACTCCCCACCTGACTATGTTTTCCGCGCAAATCAGATGCATAGCCAATTATATAAATGCCTCTTTCTGGTGAAATGGTTGTATACATTTGGGTATGGGTCAAACTTATCAACCTCCAGCAGTGGATGGCTTAGTCCTAGACTTCTTCAATTTGGTGGGTTCATTGATACCATTTGATACATCATAAGATACATCACTATACATCATAATACTATTTCATTACCATTTCTAAACATCCAAACGCAGCGATTGAGACGGAATTGAGACGGAGCTTCTTTCGGTTCTCAGGTGGACTCGTCTGCGCTTGGCATGCTTCGCACGGAGCTCCATGTGCTTCCAGTGAGCCCCGTGCAGCTTTTCCGGAATTTGTACATTGACCTTTCCTGGTATCCATTGCAAGGGGAGGGGCGCCATCTACAAGAATCTTGCGGAGACTTGAGCTGAAAAATAACTGGCCAAATTTGGGGACTCCAGTAGAAGAAACAAGACCTTAAGATCGCTTAAGTATCCTTAAGTAGGGATCCGACCAATGGCTTTGTACGAATCTTGATGCTGCATGGCTGCCAGTTTCAATTGCCAACTTCGATCAGTCGTACTACGTTGTACTGTTTGTAATGGCCAAGTGAAGTCAAGTGAGGAGATTATACCTATGGCCTCAACTATGACTGTCAGACCCAGAAGGCCAAGGATGTTTATTCAATCGGACCATTGGCGTGTTCCAATTGCTATGCAGCTTTGAAAGCGACGCCGGGTTTCCAGGTAGAAACCGACAACCTCGGGGTACCCACCAAGATCGCTTTGGACCTGTCCCCACCTTTGAAGTGAATTTCGAGGTAAGATTTTCTCCGAGTTCAGATGGCAGTTGGAAATCGCTTTTTTCAGGACCCGTTTCGGACAACTTGATCGACAAAGGCCTCACCTTCACCATGCCCCTCTTTGGCAGCCTGGTGAGCGCCATCAATGAGTGGACAGTTAACATTGGAATCTATATCACCTACCAGCTGAAAGGGCAAGCGGATCCTCAAAGCACACTGGAGGGTGTCTTTCAGACACGGCAGGTCTTCCAATGGAGCGGTGCTCAAGTTGCATGGACCAAAGGGACCGGCTTATCCACGGAATTAGGAACCGTCAGCTTTAATGGCAGCACTGTCACTCCGGATCTCAGAGATTTTGCCGCTGATCTGCGAGGGGCTCTGGCTCCTTGTGCCGGCCTGGAATTCAACTATGGCGACGAGACGATGTCGGCTGTGTCCTCCTGCTGGAGCCTCAGAGTCTCCGAGCCTCAGACCTGTCCAGGGAGGCCTACAACAGATTGGTGTTTTTTGCAGAATTTGAAGGACAGATTTAGAAGAATCATCAAGAAAAGCTGAAAACATTCGGATGGTCATTTTCCAGCCTTCAGTTCACCTGGTGCAACAGCGATATGTGGATCTTTTGGCTGGCGGTTGCACACTACAGTCACCTACATACACATCTTGTTTCCTCATCTTTTCAGCTTAACATCAAATGATTTCATTTACCCCCAAAGGCTTTCTTTTTTTCGATCAATTCCATATCTTTCAACCCATTTCAGCCATTTTCCACCGTAAAACCTACTGGCAGAAAACCTACTGGCACGATGGATGGAAGGCAGCCCACAAAGACCACCCCAGATATCCGACATACAACAGGTATCCATATGCGATGGAGTTTGCAGCGGCAAGGCTAGATGAAAGACCAGAAGAGGAGGAGTGACTAGATTCACCCTCACAACAGAAGATTCGGCATGAAGAGAAACAAAGGAAACAATTTAGGCAACAACAGAATAGGCAACAATACGCCTTTGGCAGCAGGCGCAGGAGGCAAAGAGCTCTACCAAATCAGCACCAGCAGCACCCCCCCTCCTCGATGCAAGTTTCACCAGCCTTCTAGTAGGCGCCCCGGGACAGAACCCTCGACAGGGTTGACGAAGAAAGCTCGGAGTCGGGAAAATCAACAAGCTTTTTATTTGAGTCGTAGACGTGCTAAGGCCCTGAAAAAGAATATATTGAATAGAAGATGTAACCGGCGTGTGTGGAGGTGTTATAAACGAACTTAACTCCGAGCACGAGCCAAAAAGGTAGCCAAGGACGTTTTGCACGGAAACTGTCTCTCAAAGAGACGAGTTCTATCCAAAAACAGGTAACGGAAAATCGCAGTGTAAACAGTGGTTCAGTAAAAATATCCCCAAACACAAACAAAACTTCCGAACGTAGCGTGCAACTCTGAGGTCACGCCATAATAAGATGATGGATGTATCCCAAGATCGCAACGTAACCAAGAAGTTTAAGATCAAAGCTAATCAGCAGGTCAGAGTTGCGACGCTTAACGTTCGAGGTTTGAACCAACTGACTAGGCGTGAGACATTGGTGAAGATTATGAAGGATAACCAGTACGAAGTTCTACTTCTGACCGAAACTAATGTGAACCTTAACTCTTTAGAATACTGGGGTGGTTATACAGCCTTCTTTAGCACCAATTTGGAACCAAAAATAAGGAACGGGAGCAAAATAGGAGAGAGCAACAGCATAGCCGATAAAAAACCCAGCAATGGGACCAGCCACCGGCTTGACTTGACGCCAATTTTAATCAAGCAGGTGTTGGTATAGTGCTGAACAAATGCTTTCTAAATTCACTAAAGGAAGTTAAGCAAATAAACGGCCGAATTGCCACAGTAACGTTCACACGGGTATGACCTGACATTTATTTGTGCCTATGCCCCACACAGCGGTTATCCCACTGATACCAAGGAAGATTTCTATGACCAGTTAGCGAAAGAAATTGCTTTATGTAGAGGTCATTTTTACATAGGAGGTGATTTCAATGCTAGAATCCATCATGTGTGGGCATTATATTATTGGGAGAGGCATGGAGTACCTGAATCACATGAACGAAAAAGCAAAAGAAAGCAGAGCGCTTAAACGGCGTTAAAGGCAGCCAAAACTAATAAACAACCGGGACCTGACGAATTGCAAATGGAATTGTTAACATGGCTAGGCGCTTCCAACCGCGCCCGCCTTCTTGACCTGATTAACAATTGGTGACAGAACGAAAAACGCCCCAAGATTTGTTTGTCGCAAGAGTAGTGCCAATTTTCAAAAAATGCGAAACAGACGATGCAGCAAACTATCGTCCAATTTCAGTACTGAGTAGTGTGTACAATATATATATATATATGATGATGATGATGATGATGATGATGATTCGATCTAGGATGCAAAAGGCTGTTGGAGATGAATTAACAAAAACCCAATATGGTTTCCGGCCTGGCAAATCAACCTCTCACGCTATATATGTGGCCCGCAGAATCCAAGATTATGCTGAGTCTAAAGGGACGCGCTTAAGTCTAGTTTTACTTGATTGGGAGAAGGCTTTTGATAAAATACAACATGATAAGTCAATTCTGGCGCTTCAACGGATGGGTTTCAGTTCGCAGTTCTGTGACGTATTGGAGATTGCTACTGCTACAAGGAACCAATCTTCTTTGTAAAAGATGACTTTGGATGTTTCGGTTTCAAAAGATGACTTTGGATGTAAATAAGGCAGGGATGCCCATTATCCCCGTATCTTTTTGTTATTGTTATGTCATGTGTTGATTTTGATATACGAGCTCGGTGCAGTCGATGGGTGTCAAATGGAAGAATTCCAAGGCTTGAGTTCGACATGCCGATGATACCATTTTGTTTTTCACCGACAACAGAGCCCTCAATGAATTATTACATCTGACGGAAGTGATTTCCAGTAAATATGGTTTATGTTTAAACAAAAACAAGTGTGTCGCAATCCAAATGAATAATGATGGCTCGGTCCATTTTGACAATCAAGAACCGCTCCCAAAAAGATTTGAGACCACTTACTTAGGAAATGAAATCAGCAGAGAAGCCAATATCTGGCACGAAATTTTGAACAAAATGCAAGAAATAAGAAAGACTTGGTTCAGATTACTGCCATATTGGAATTGCTGATCTTTGATGCTGTTATGAAATCCAAAATTATCTATGGTTTGGAGACTGTTCATCTCACACAAGCCATGATGAAAAAAATCGACGCCTTCCAGTTGCGCTGACTGAGAAAATTCTTGGGCTAGCGCCGACGTTCATAGATAGACGAAATACAAACAGGCAGTGCCCAATAAATGTACAGACATTGTATCCACGCACCAGGAAGACCACAAAAAAAATCAGTCTTTTCAGCGAATATTGTTTTCACCGCAAGACCAAATTACTTGGGCATGCGCTTAGAGCCCCTGAGGATGACCCTTCAAGACAAGTATCTTTTGAACCAAATTCCGGAAACAGAGTGGACTATGGTAAACGGCGTTGTGGTCGTCCCAAGCAAAACTGACTGTATTTTTCAAAGAAAACCGCTTATGAAATGCACTTGAATGGAAGTAATTACTTGGAATCTGTAGAGCATGATTTCCGAATCTATAATGCAGCCTTAAACCGAGAATTTTAATGTTTCTCTGTGGTTCCTTGGCTACGCCAACGCCTTGCTTCTTTTGAAGATGTTTCATTGCAAGGTATGGCTGGGAAAAAAATAAGTACATGTACATGTACATGTACATGCACATGTATATATATATATGTACATGTACCTGTATCTGTATATGTATATGTAAGTGTATCTATCAACATTTTTTATGAGACGACACTAATATATAACGTATATTATACATGTAGCACTTGTAATATTATATATATACACACTATTCTATGTCTATATTCATGTATTTATATGTATATGTGCTATACGTATGCACACATCTAATTTCCATTGAATATAATCTCCATTTATTATTGGATATTATTGCCTACGGTTTCCCCATTTATTGGCAAATCCCCATAGAGTTTTTCGGCGAGGCTTGGAAGGGCATGTGGCCTACGCGACTGAGAAGGCAGAGACTTCAGTGGCGGCAAGCGCTGTTGCTGCGACTGCCCAGGTGGAAAATGTGAAGTGATGGGAAATTGTGGGAAAACTATGGGAGAACAGGGAAAAGTGCGGGAAAACGATGGAACACTAAGAGAAACCTTGTGATATGGAAGGTGATGTGAATTTAGCAGTTATTAGATTGTTTTAAAATTGTTTTAGTCTGAATAGGCTTCGACCCATCTGTTATTGGTCTTAGACAAGGGCTCAGCCGAGGGATTGAAGGTTGGAAACTGCAAACCATGAGATTTTTCCGGATTTTGGGGCAGTTGCAGGCTTCTGACGAGACCCTTTGTGTTGACATGTACCAGTTCGAAACAGATGGCGATTTGGACAGCTTGCCAGATAAACCCTATGCAGGTTGGTGTTTTTTTGGAAAGTGTCACTACCGGTCGACGGCCAGCTTCAGCGGAAGCAAGGCTACCTGGGATGATGGCGAGGTGTGTATGGATATCCAGAGTGCCTGGCTCGCAACGAACAAACTCTACATGGAAGTTTGGGAGTGGAACGTTGCTTGGGACAAGGAGTACATCGAGCGAATCTCAGAGGATTTGAGCGATGACATTGGGGACTTAAGGAATGGTGTGGATTGGACATTGACGCCAACTCCAACCTCCAAGAGTGGTGGCACATATGCGAAAGTCTTGGTGAAGGTCAAACTCACCTCCAAACGGCTGCTCCAGACGTCCAATGCCAGCAGTTGCGGCCAAAGTCTTCATGTTGGACCTGGGATGCATGGATTTGCGTCAGGGTAATTTTCGATTTTACATGCGTTCATCTATGTTCATCCACCAGGGACATAGAAGATCTAATTACGGGGAATTTTATGCTATTTTCGCAGCTTGAATCAAACTGGTATGGTCGTTATCATGGTCATTCCACCTTTATGATTATATATATAATTATATAATCTATTAATCTTATCATTTTCGATTATTTTCGTCCACTTTCATGCATTTTCCCATAGCAACATTTTGGTGCCGCCGTTGAAGGCTGCATGGCGGGCTCTCTGGCTTTGTGCTCCCGGCCTCGTGGGACCATTCCGGTGAACAGCTGGTGGACCCCGTCGAAATGCCCAGCTATCACGGGGAGATGGAGCTGGCCTTGTGTGAAGATCTTCCCAGAAGCATGGCATAGCATGGACAGTTGGGATAGTTGGGAAGTGGAAGTGGTGTATGGGTAGTGGAAACAGAAACCTCAGAGGGGCTTCCCCTTTTGAGCTGTTCACCAAATAAATACAACGGTACCATGTTTCTTATTCTTTACAGTTTACACAGATACACTTTTGAATTGCAGTTCGATCATGGAGAATTCGAGTTGAGCATATGCATCGAGTCTAGATTCGCGATGAGCACCTCAGGATGGGATCCAAGTGGTATGTGGGGCTCTAGTAAGGGCAGCGGCCCAACTTTCCTCGATGGATTACTCATTGCTTGGAGCCTTTTTGCTTGACAGTCGGAAACCGATTGCCGTGCGATCATCTAAGATATCTAAGATCTGACGAGAAGTTTTGACGTGTTTTGACCACCTGTGGAAGTGACGGGCTCTAGTCCGAGACATGATTTGAATCAGATAACTTTTCTTCACTTTTCACCATTACTCGAAGCACATTGTAATATACAATATGTGCTACAGTTTGTAATGAAATCATAGCAGAGGACAACAAAGGAAAAGGACAGCCTCTCTCTGTGGCGGAAAAAACTGCAGAGCTCCCAGTGGCATTTTTGACCTCAAACATCGATCATGTATATATATATATAATATAATATAATATAATATAATATAATATATTAATATAATATATATATATATATTATATTTATACCAGGTCTTCAAAGGGAGAATTTAACTTTGACATACGAAAATCTGAAGTTTAACTATCATGGTAGGCCCCCCTATCTGCCCCTGACATCACCTGTCAAGCCGTGTAAATGTTGGTGAAATCCCTGAACCTGGATCCTAGATGATCCCCACAAAACCTGTTCGCGTGAAGTGCCCGTGAAGTTGCGTGAAATACTAAAGTGAAATACTACGTGTACCCAGTTTACCCGTGAAATACTAAAGTTACCCGTGAAGAACTAAGTTTACTCTGGTGCTAAGCGTGAACTGGCACGCCCAAAACTCTTGCAGAGTACTTCGACCCAGAGCGACCAATCCCAGAGCCCAGGAGACGCGATTGCCCGCAAAAAACAAGAGCATGGTTACACTTAGTATTTCACGGGTAAACTTAGTATTTGACGGAAATGCGAACAAATGCTAAGTTAAACTTCGACCTTGGAAGGTCTGGCAAAAAAGAATTGCACATCACATATTCCAGTAGGTATTAACATCACGGTGCAACTGGAACATACTCATGAACACTGGTGGTCCAGCCCAGGCAGTTGGCCTCAACTTGATTGCAGCTAGAAAGCTAGAAAAAGGAGGGAACTTTTGGCCCTGGGGTGACCTGGTGGAATCTTCGATTTGTGATTTGTGAGGTTTCCCAGCATTTTTTTTTCCAATGAACATGGGAACCATTTGTGTGGCTTGAACCTCCATGTACAATGTACTCTTAAAGCAGGACCATGGCATTCTGGTTCAGCCCTGTAGACATACGACTCGAAAATTCATGCGGACAAAAAAAACAACAATGTAGACATATAGACTGGGTCAAGCATGCGATTCTGGTGCTCATCATGTTTCTTATACAGATCCCTTAAATGTCATTGGACAGAGGAAGCTTGTATCGAATAGATCCACGCAGCGTTTTTGAACGAATCTGGTCACGATGGGGATGCTGTATCCTGGCCGCTGCTGTTTGGATTTCAGTAACATGGATGTTTGTAGAAGGACCAACAAGACTCCAGATGAAGCCTTCACTACTTATTCCCATGCCAACAAGAACAGCTTTTGTGTCCTGAACACGTTGACACAGTGGTCAACTGCAAACTCAACTGCGGTCAAATGGGTGTACCCAGGCACAGCACCTAGCGTTATTGACCCAGAGCTGACCTGAACTGGAAAGGTGTAGCAAGAAAACACATTCGCATTAACTCCTCAGAACATCCATATCGGTCCATATCCATCGATCCTCCATCCATCCATCGGCCGCCTTGGTCGCTGTGGACTGCGACCCTGCGCCGCGCTGCGGATGTGCTGTTGGCCGCTTTGCAGGTGTAGCATCTGCAAATTTCAGTGCCGCATCTATCCATATCCACATGAATTGGGTTGTCCAGGAAGTTGAGGTTATGCCCTGAATATGCCCTAAATATACCAACCGGAAATTTTAGGATTTTTGGGTTTGTCTAAAAATTGGGTATACCTCCAAAATCCACGTGTTGATCATCATTTTCACCAGTACACGGTCGAGGGCACACCAATTTTCCGACTCTTTTCAGACACAGCCATTTCAAATGAGGAAGTATGGGAAAGTGTTCATTGGCTGATTATTGTTATTGAACATGCCTGTATGACCGAACAAGAGAAGGATTATCAGACGCCTCGTTGCTTTTCCCTCAATACTAACAAACGAATCTGTCCATGAACAGTTTGTTTTTCTTGGGGGGGAACTGACCAATGGGACTCACAGACACACACACAATATATATATATATTTATATATATATATATTTATATTAATATATATATATTTATATATATATGTATATATGTATATATACTGTATATATAGATATGATATAATATGGCATTATGATTCTGATTGGTTGCCGCGGCTACCGTTGCAAATGTCATGTCGCTGTGCTTCCAGGAGTTCCAGCTTTTCAGCATGGGGAACAAACTTGTGTGGAACTCAGGGATTTATGGATGGCTGATGGCTGAGACATTCGTCGAGTGTTTTATAGCAGCTGACCACCCAAGATTCGAAGCAATCCTTCAGCTTCCAGGCTTCGATGATCTTCCATGTCTTTTGAATTGAACGTCATGAAACAAGTTTGGCATCATGAATCAGGCTTTCAATCACCTCTCGCTGATCGGAAAAATAACGCACAAGACCTACTAGGAACATCTAGGAATACAATGATGAACATATCTCATGTAGCATCATGCAAATTTTTGGAGTATGGAGCAGATGGCGCAAGCTCAGGTCGGCTGTTGTGTGTCCTCAGAATCTGACGAGGTTGGGGTATCTGAGTGGGCATGCCAGCATTCCACGTCCATCTAGCCAGCTGTTTCTCGGCCTCTTGCGAAATTGTTTTGCAGTTTCGATGATATTTTCATATATATATATATTCTACATGTATTCAAATATAGGCAGATCGCTGGACCTCAAACTTCCTTGCTGAATTCTCTGAAGCCAACGTGTTTTTTCATTGGCATTGAAAAGCGTCCCCTGGCCGTAGGGTGGAGACTTTGGCGATAGCTTGAGCAAGCCAGTCTTCTATGAAGATTTGTTGTGCAGCTGCCATGCTTGAGCATCTACAGTGACTGTAGTTTTAGTATGGCTTTAGTATGGCTTTATGATCAGTCTATTTAGATACCTTTAAACTTAAGGCAGATATACCTTTAGCATATTTTTTGTTGTGCGGTGGGTACATCATGCTACATCTCCATGACTTCACATGCATGCATGCCAGTTGTTGTGACATGCTAGGAACAGCAGGCTGGACGTGTCACAATCGCAGGCGAGCGACGTTCTTTCGTACACCACCATTAGGTCAACCATCCCCTGCTCAATCAGAGGAAGCTAGGATCTGGCTTATTATCCAGGTACTGGTTGATTTTGTTCATGATCAGGGTGTGTAGGGATGATTTAATCTCCAAAATAGTTGGTTCATGTTGGTTCCCTCATTGGTCTGGGTCAGCCGCAGCCTCCCATGCAGGTTTATAATAATAACTACGTGGGACAGAAGGCCAGACATTGCTGATGATCCCGCACTGGGGAAATTCTGGGATCTTCCACCTTGCGAGCCATCTCCGAATGCTTCGGGCCTTTGTACCTCTTTCCTAAGCCTGCAAGATCTAGGACGAGTTGACTTGCCAACTTTGATGTTGAGAAGACATCAAATCAATCACATCCCATAACTGTTCCAAGGGAATCAAAGACCCTTTAGGGTATGCCTGTGTATACCTTGAAGTTGATGACCCCAGAGGTTTTCTCAGCATTTCTAGAGCCTATTGTGGCCTCCCCAGGCACTCAGAGGCAGTCAATTCTCATGTTGCAAGGCCAAAGGCTGGGGGACCACGGGCGTGGACTGGCCATGGCTGATGTTCAACAGAAAAACTGCCAAACATGACATCAGTGGCCCACTATGATTTGTTGAGTGGAGCTTCGATGAGTTATGCAATGGAAATAAGAGATAATGGGGGCCATCGATGGGTGAAAACCGGTGGTCTCTGCAGCTGTTCCCATCAGGCCATTTGCTCGACTCCATTGAGGATGACACGGGCCTTGAGGCGGGAGACTGCCTGATGCTGGATGATAGCGGAAAGTTTTCCTTTTTATTAGGCCGAAGGAAGATGTCAGACAGAGTTGGAGTCCTACCAGTCACCAGGAATGTAAAGGGGCTCTGTTTCATGCCTGTCACCGAAGACGTGTTTTGGCTTACGTAGTTGGAAATGCAAAGAAAAACACTCAGACACTTGTCTTACCTCTTGAGCACTATCCTATGCCCAGTCTCAAACCAAACCCAGCCGAACTTTTTTGAATACACCTCCACTCTGGAGAGGACTGGAAGAAATCAAGGTCTGATAAAGACAATTTATCCAGACATCTCTCAGGTGTCTTAAGATGTTGAGACAACCGGAAAAGCAGCACAGCGTATTTTCAGCTCACTGTCTTCACAGCAAGCATTGCCTCGCCTGGCCGGCGGTGTCGCAGTGAGGGGCTTACGCGATATTTTTTGGGGTTCGACCACTTGCTGGTGGATGCTGGGGATTGGATGAGAAAATAACAACCATCTTGGGGAGAGATGGGGATATGAACTACTTGGATACCCCCAAGGTTTTGTTGGGATTGGTGTGTACAATACCACAGTGCAAGGATGGAAATTGTACTCCATGTCGACTGGTGCAATGTGGTGGTCAGTGGTGGTGCCACGTTATTCACTGTTATTCACTGTCCCTTTCAAGAACAACGCCTAGAATGGCCTAGATTCCAGCCAAGAACAACGCCTAGAATGGCCTAGATTCCAGCATGTTTGTTGAGTTGGAACGTCTTCTGTCTTTGAGGCGATGGTTGGAAAGAAGGCCACCAAGAAGGCACTTGGCTGCCCATTGTTTAACCAGTGTGTCTCCTTCACAAGCTGGATCAAAGTACCAGCATCAATTTATTTTATTTCTGTGAATTGATCCTTTTTTTTCCAGCGTGACGCGATTACTCTCAAATACCACTTAGAAAAAGATCGCTCCATATTAAATACCACCTAGAAATCCTTGTTTACTATTGAAATCTATTGAAAAATCTATTGAATCTATTCACTTTTGGGTCCCTTGAGAAGTTGTGATGAGTTTCGCCAGGGCAAAGTGAAGCCCAAGGCCTCAAAAGCGAAGGCGCAAAAGGCCGGAGATGGCGAGGCCAAGAAGAGGAAGGCCAAGGCGGGCAAGGTGCCAAGGGATGGGGTGAAATGGATGGAGATATCCCATCGATACCCTAATTTTTCGAATTCAAACGTATTTTAATGTGTTTGAATGATCTAAAATGATCATTTTAAGGGGCATATTAAGAATGATTGAGATGTATAATTGAAGATATAAGGGAAAATGATGATCAACTCAGAGATTTTGAAGGTACCTTTGGGCACCCTATTCTCTAACTAAACAATGTGCTGAGTTGGGGGTATTCCTGGTTCTGGTGCTGCTTAAAGGTGATCCGGTGATACAGTCGCTCCTTGGCAGGTGACAGAGGCTTCCGAGCCGAAAGTTGAGCAGGAAGAGGTCGCTGCGCAGGCAGAGCTGGGTGTTTTAGCTGGAGTCTTTTTTCTGGGAGTTTTAGCTGGTGTTTTACCTTTTACATCCTTTTCTGTGCATAGCTGAAATGTGCGAATAAAGTGAGTGTTCGCCCAGGCCTAGATTTACGGTTGAAAGAAGTGAAACCGAAAAAGAACATGTTTGCGAGCCAACAACTTCAATCAACAGAACTCCTAGAATCTCCTAGAGGAAACAGCAAAATCATGCAACATCCTTCCACAAGCATCGCGTGTCGAAGGAGAAAGCAAAACCTCGAAAAACAAAGGCGAACAGGTTCAAAGAGGCCATGGAAGCCGAGGAGGCTCTGCAGGGCTCCAGTTGGAAAGATTTGGGGATGTATTAATACTTGTGGGACAACCTTTGTGGGCTTAAACATCCATTTGCCAGCTATTTTGGATTGTTTTGGCGTTCACCAGGATACCATTGTTTTCAATACCAATTTATTTAATTTCATTTATTGTTTTGGGATACTGGTTCGAGATCCACACCCAATGAGGCAATTGGAACACCAGGCCTGTTTCGAGTTTGACAAAGCAGGAGCCAAAGGAAGGTGAGCCCAAAGGAGTTGTGTATTTAGGTGCCGAGCTTGGAGATTGGGATGGGTTTCCGATCAATCTTGTGATGGAAGAACAGGGAATCCCCCAAGTTTTGCCGATTTTCATCGATTTTCGTATTTGTTTGTTGGTTGATGTTGGTTGCCATACCAAGCAAAATCACATTTCAGCTGAAGTCCCTGATTTTGGGATTTTTCGGGATCAACGAAGGTGTCCTGATTTCCGTGTTTTCCACATCCAGATGCTGTGACTGGAGCACTACAGAGGTCATATACCTGATGGTTTCTTCGAGCAGCAGATTAAGAAGTGCTCCAGCGGGTCTCCAGCGGGTCAGGCGATGTGTACAGAGGAAATGTAGGGAGCCCTGTGCCGTGAAAGTCGATGGATGCTATTGAAGTATTTGAAATGCTGCACCAATTCTTCAAGAGGTCCAAGTGTTTGACCGTTTGACCACTGTTTGATTGAAGGGGAATCTACGGGAAACCAAGTTTTTGACCATCGATAGGGTGGGACCTTGAGAGACTTGCAGAGGTCTGTGCGGAATTGAATTCCTGGAACATCTTGTCACGACATCATCGACACTGCGAGGTACTTCTCGCAGTTTGGTGATGTGACCCGCTTCAAATTGGCGCGCTCACGGAAGACTGGCGGCTCAAAGGTGCTGAGATCTGGACAGGGACTGTAGGTGTTGCCACGGGTCGGACAAGAGATCACGAAAACATGCAAAAACCATGGAGTCAGCCATTGAGTCATAACAGACATAGAATTGTCATGAATTTTCCATGTTTCATCATACAGAAAGGATCAGAAAGGCAATTTCTATTCCCTAGTGCGGGTTTTATAGTCTGATATAGTCTGTCACCTGATGGTCAAGCGTCAAGCAACGCTAAAACAAGGCAACTTGAATTTTAACTCATTTTCACATGTCAATACATTGTCATAGATGACCTCCTTGGAACTTGGCCTTTGCGAAACCTTCCGCCAGGGCTATGCCTTCATCGAGTTCCGCCAGGAGAGCGTAGCGAAGATTGTGGCGCAGACCATGAACAAGATCCTTGTTACATAATGGATGCATGGATGGATGGATGGATGGATGGATGGATGGATGGATGGATGGATGGATGGATGGATGGATGGATGGATGGATGGATGGATGGATGGATGGATGGATGGATGGATGGATGGATGGATGGATGGATGGATGGATGGATGGATGGATGGATGGATGGATGGATGGATGGATGGATGGATGGATGGATGGATGGATGGATGGATGGATGGATGGATGGATGGATGGATGGATGCAGCAATTATGGGTAAGGGATGGTAAGGCTTATGGCTTATGATCATGATCGTAGTGGGATGCTGTGTCATATACTGTGAGATGGATCAGGTTACAATAAAACCACACAAAAACTGTATGATGGGTTTGAGCAATTGAACAACATAAGCTATCTTGGAACATAGTTTGGCCATATCGAGGATGACATGCACATCTTGTGGTTACCACACAGAGAGATATACCTGAGCCCTTTTGACCGAATTCTTGATGTATCACTCTTTCTTAGATGATAAACCAAGAAGACAGACAACATTTTGATCATATTTGGATATTTTGTTTTTGGATTCCAAAAAATGGGGGATCCCCAAGTCACCATGAATTTCAATACTATGTAATGGTCCAATTTTGCATGTTTTTGCAGCCCCATTGTGGTCAATGTTTGTTGTGCCCAAGGTACATCCTTGGCAACAAGACGCTGGTTTGCACGTTCAAACCTCGCGAGGAGGTGCCCCGACAAATTCACCAAGCCATGTTTCTGTTCTAGGATGTTCAAGCTGGTTCACGATACTCTGCTGGGTCTACCGTACGAGTTTTAGCCACCACCTCTGCTGCGACCTGCCAGTGTCATCCGAAGCTCTTTAGTGGCTGGCGTGAGGAGATTTCGGTTGGCACCTCAGTCAATGTTTGCAGACTTCAGCATGCTTCAACAGCAGAGTGTGTGCGAAAATAGAGGGAGTTGCCCCGAATGGAATTGGTTACAGTTACAGAACATTTGGTGGATTTTGCCATAGATGTTGCTATATATTTTTTTGTGTCCCGAAGTTCTGGGGGTATATGGGACAGCACATGATAGCACATTTTTAGATATTTTCAGCTGGATCTCCCAGAAGATCTTGGGATTATTCAGACCACAAGATTCTGTGCGAAAAAAGCCGTCACAGAGTGCCGCTCAGGACCCCAGACCGGCCAAGAGAGCGAAGCATATGCTTGGCTTCAACGATCGGCCCAACGTGGAGGTGGGACGGACTCACAAGGTGGTACTCCCCTTGAAGGAGATTCCATGAGATTTCAGGGGTTTTGTAAATGATTGTAAATGTCATCCAGATATCATTGATGATCATTGATGATATTGACGTTTGATGTTTGTGGAATACATCTTGTACAGGCATAATCATTGCGATTCAAAAAAAAATGCACAAACCCGTCCCACCCTGTCAGGTTGACGGTCAGGCGGTTCCGCAGATGACCAAGGAGCAGGCCCCCGGCAGCCTTTCTGCTCAATCATCGATACCTGCAAAACACATGTTATGTTCAGTTTCATTTGGGAAACATATGAAACAACATGAAACAACATATGTTTTTTTTTTGAAAATCAGCTGAACAAGGGATGTTGACACGGAGAATTCGCAAGAAACTACATTGTTCACCCCATTTGGATCATTTGGGAAGGGTAATTCCCAGGTTTTCCATTTTCATCCCCAGCATCCATTGTTTACGTAAGAATCTCTCCCTGGAACTGCAGGTAAAACGTAGAGACTTGCAAAAGAAGAAAATGAAGGCGGGACATGTGTTGACTTCGGGAGGTCTAGGGGACATGGGTCAACCATGGTCAACCCGTCTCCCCAAGCCTAAAATGTTCAAGGGGAGGCTTCCACTGTGGGAGAACATGTCTTCCATGTCTTGAGATGGCACAAACATGTAGAAGGGAAGATTGCAAAGCATAAAAGCTGCCAAACATTGCCAAACCATAGAAAACTGCTGGCCATGGCCATGATTTCGATTTTATCTCGGAGCGTCCAAAACAGAGCAGTGTGAAGTTGAGCACTGTCTGAGGCGAAGCTGAAGCAATTGGAAGTTGATTATGACATCGATGAGGTTCTTGAAGGTGTCACAGGGAGCATCGGGGAGGACAGAAAGTCAACTTATAGAATCAGTGCGGTCACTGCAGCAGAGTTGCTGTTGCAGCGAATTTCTTCTGTCCAAGGCGCTGCAGATGATGAAGCAGAAGAGGAGGACAGATGAGTACCGCCAACTCCTGGATTCTTGCGGTAGAGGCGATGCCATGCGCGCATGTTCTCGGATTCTTGGGGACAGATCATGGAAGAAGTCTTTAGTCCCGTTGGCCTCCTGTTGCAGGGAGTGACATGAGGATGATTCGATTTTACTTTGGAGGTTCCACCAGATTGTCCAATCCACAGGAGCCGGAAGTGAAACATACGAAGCTTCCGAAAAAGAAGAAAAGGCTGGACGCATATTGATTGGATGCTGTGACTTCAGGTTTCACATGGCCTGCGTGTAATGATGGCATTGGCTACCCTTGACTGCCAGGCGTGCTGCGTCCAGTCATGTCCTAAGTCCCGCTTGTGGTTGGTAGAAATTGGTAGTGCCCATTCAAGATAATACGCACTTGTAATTGGGAGCCAGCGGGATGCAAGATGGTGTTTCAGAATGAAAACGCATGTTGGGCAAGCATTTTGAAGGATTTCAACTGATTTCCATGTCAGATTGCGTCAAAGAACATGATTTGACAAAGTCACCTCACAGACTGATACAGACTGGCCAGTATATCTGGCTGAGTGAATTTTAGACGATGCGCTGCACCATCTTTTTCCATGGACGATGCCGTTATTGTTTGAGTCGGCTGGAGGTACTTGACCAGAAGACGTAGCACCTCCTGGCTCTTAAGACCAGCCCTCAGGGTATTTGTGCACTATGAATATCGCCAGCTGATTTGGGATATCCAAACGGTATAGATCCCATAAATCTGACAAGGATGTTCAGCACATTTCCCAACCAGATATTCTCAAGAATTCTATATCATTCTCAATTCTGTTTTCGCTGTTCTGGTTGAGCATGAAGATCTATGAAGCATGTTGCAACAACTCATGCAACTCACATCACCTCGTGGACCTTCGTGCTCAGGCCCCTTGTGATTTGCTTCCGTGCCGAAGCCTCCGAAGCCATTCCAGAACTGGATGTGCTTCCAACAGCCCTAAGACTCGGCGACCGTGTCGTACACCGCCAATGATTTTTGCTACCCGTTTGGTGTACGATGCGCTGGTCCATTTCACCGAGCATCTCAGAGTGAAGTTGAAAAAGCGCGAGCATCTTAATGGAGGGTTCTATCATGTTCTATCATTTATCTTCATTTATAGAATAGTATATATATATATATATCATGTGATATCATGTGTATAGCAGCTTTGCAGGATGTGCGTCTCATTATTCGGATTTGACCTGTTTCATGTCTTTTCACGTCATGAATTACGTCAGGCGGAACTCCTCCACGCGCCTTACAACGCATCGTTTGGGTTGGCCAACTTCAAAGGCAAACAGGAGCCTGGGACACCGATGACGATCCGTTCATCCGTTCTGGGGCGCAGAAGGCTTAAATCAAAGTTGGTTCCGAGTGGTATGCACAAGAGGTTTTTAATGGTTTTTGTATGTGGATTTCTGATGATTTTCTGTACATGATTTTTGAACGTTACAGCTGTCCCGCTGTCCCTCTCGATTTATTAGGGGCCTAGCAACTCAGTGATCCGTTGCTAGGACTGGAATTCTTCAAATTTGCTGGCAGATTTGAATCGCCAGGCCCATAGGCTGGTCACTTCTGCTCACACTGGCGCAATGTACAATAAAAATCAACAAAATGGGTCAGCAATTCAGAAGACATCCGTGCCATTGCTGCCAGTCTCTCCATGGAATTCAAGCCGTGTGATGCACGGGAGAAATCCAAAGGCTCGGTGGGCTGTCGGTGGGCGAAGGTTCAGAGTTTGCGCGAAGTGTTCCAGAAAAAGTTATGAGGGCCACATGCTTGCCCTCAGGATCCATCAACATCAAGATTCATACACTACACACGCGAGTCCAAGGGTTGCAAGACGCTCACTGATGATGTTAAGGATGAATGTCGGACTTTTAAGACTTGACGATGACTCAAGATGACCTCCAAAACCGGGTTTGGTTAATGTTTGGTTGATATTCTGATAGGACAGCAGTCAGCACTGTCGTCGCGTGTGGCTCCACCGCCAGGCAAGGGACTGGCAAAGGTAATGTGACCGGTGACCGTCTTGAACAATAGTAGAAGATGGGTTCGGTGCTGCTGGAGTTGCAGTCAACCCCAACAGTGAAGTGAATCAGTGAAGATCGATAAGTTAAGATAGTGGTAATTGATGGTAATAGTGCCTTGACATGCCTTGATTGATGACATTGTAGATCATGGAGGTATGTGGGACCTGTTTGGAATATTTTAAGGAATACTCCTGCCATGGAAATGGTGTAATGATTTGCAACACCAGCGCACGACCCAACGAAAATCACAGGATTCCTCCCAAAGGGAGAAAGGAGCTGCATGATTTTATTGAAGCCGGTCTAAAACGTCTAAAATGCCCATAGAGGTTGCTTCAAGCTGCGAGATCATTAGCAGAAACTGCTCGCAATTTCTGTCCTTCTTGTCGCTCTGTGTTGGACGGAGATGGTGAAACTTCGAAAATGCACACAAGATTACGAACAAATACGAACAACAAACCATCATACATCATCATACATATCCCTGCACACATGGTTGCAACATGTTGGACGTTGCAACAACCTCAGCCAGGATGCTAGGTTCATCAGAGAATATCAGAGATAGAATTCAAGCAACTTATAACAACTTATATATGCTCTCACATTGAAGGCATTTGAAGATATTTGAAGTCTTGCTCTGTCTCTCTCTCTCTCTCTCTGAGCAGAAGGGGTGCATGGAATCCGTGAAACACAAGAGAGAGATTGCTCAGCCGGAAGAGGGTACGTGTCCATTACGTGTCCATTTTTGTTCAAATCTCTCTCTTTCTCCACGTTGTGTAGGCAGATTTTCAATCCATGTATATCACAACAATATGTACAAGCATGCATGAACAAAATCGCAGGCATCCAACAACTGGACTGGAAGTTCCTCTTGAGACAGTCAATGTCACAATGTATAATATCTTGAGTCTTTGGAGCAGCAGAGGAGTTGTATTCTGCCAGATGTTTCGCAGCCACCTTATGAAACTACATGGATTTTCTACTGTTTTTCTAATATTGGATCCTCGAATCGCCTGGGACATGGTGCATCCAAGCGCGGCACGTGGACGCACGAAGTTCTTCAGCAGCCTAAAGTTGTGGATCTTGCGAGAGATCAGAGCTCGCGATGAGCTCAGTGGCAGGGGGTGAAGACCAGTTGGATTGAACTGATTGAACTGAGTTTGGGCTTTCAATGGTGGAACCCCAAATCATCCAAAATTACATCATTTCAGTATATTTCAGTATGTTTTAGTATATTTTAGTATTGAAAGCCATGGTTTCGATGGGTCGGCCCCATTGAAACCTCCAGTTGGGTGTCACGGAGAGTCCTGGTGAAGGTTTTTTTTGAGTGCAGCGCGGGCGCTCCAAGGGTTTCCGAGTGTGGTTTGGACGAGCATTTGGGCGGTGGTCTGAAGCTCAAGGGCAGCAATGGGTTGCGACTGGGTTGGGCATAGATTCTGGAGGGGCTAGAAAATCTAGAAATACAATTCGAAACTATGACAAACACACATCTAAAAGTCTATAAGATACAGTAATATACATTTGCAGCATATAATGTCATGCAAGCTATGTTATGTGTTATTTATGATTCTACTATGATTCTACTCAATCTAGAGATTATCTAGAACACATACAGAGGCCATACAAGTAATATACATCAGGTAGAGATGCAATGCAAAGTCATATGTATTGGCACTTTGACCACCATGTGCCACGGATATACTGACCCTTTGCTGGAAGTTTTTCCACGATTTCCGGCTTCTTGGTGCCTAAAATCAAACTTGCGCATGGCTGGAGGCTATTGTGGGAATCCTCCGCCTCTTCAAGTCAGCGTCCAAGCCTTCGGCAGAGTTGCTGGACTTCAACTCATTTCATTGGGATACCTGTGATGATTTCTTACAGAGTCGTCTCACTTGTAAAGCCACGAACTCTTGGAAGGCTTGTTTCAAATTTTCGCTGATATTCGCTTTGTTTTTGAAGCAAATTTTGACCAGCTTTGAAGAACTTTGAAGCGATGGTTGGTTGCTTTTCTTTCTTTGACCAGTCTCTAAAGATCTCTAAAGCATATCATATAGTACATTGATCTGCAGGGTTTCTTGGAACATATTCACGATCCTGTAGTTTCAAGTTTCTGCCAACCCGGTTCTGTTTTGGCTGCTTTGGGCACTTTTTTAGGTTGTCAACCACATAAGTACTGGCATTTCAACCCATGCCACTGACATAGTGTAGAAGCCACGTTGCAGGAAATGGTGTGCAACGTTTAAAATGCAAAGAATGTGCAACATAAACAGAATCACGGCAATCTAGCGCACCCAGCCTCGACCCGAATCCTTTGCCACCTTCTGCCCTGCTCCAGAAATTATCATCATTTGCTCAGCATCATTTCCAAAATAGATTTCCATACATTTCCATGGACGTGCACGTGGCTCGATAGGTGGGCTGCCATGCCTATTGTGGCTGCTGGACGCTGATGACTTACTCTTGTCTCACCGATGACATCAGATGACGATGTTGGCTTTCAAAGCAATCAAGCACGTGAACCTTGTCACTTGTTTATCTTGTTTGACCGTGAAAGATGTGAGCATTGAGCCAACTTACATCACAGGAGCTCCTGGTTTGCAGTCTTGATGAGGCCGCCCGATGAGACAAAGTTCTCGCAAACACAGGCGCACGATTTTGGGATTTCCCTTTTTCTGCACCTTTTCTGCACCCATGATTCATCCAAACATCCTGCAAGAAAACAGAGAGAAGCAGCGGCGCCTGCTAAATTAATATATATAGAATTATTTGTACTAATATTAATATTATATAATATAATTATATAATCATGATCGAAATTTGTGGTCATCACTTGGTCATCACTTGCTCTGCAAGATATCTAAACCCATTGGAGGCCCCTTGTGATCCTTGCGGTGACACCTTGCGAGGCATCTTCCAAGAGCGGAGATCAGCTCCGAGCCCATCAAGTGGGGAGTCCTGTCACATGTCCAGCAAGCACTGTACATTCAGATATACGTATGATATGATGAATCAACTAGTATTATGTATACATAGACAAGATAATTATCTGTATACATAATATATAATATATTATGTGATATGTATAGTTATATTCAGTCTTCGTTTTTTTTTTTTCTGCATGCTTGTTCTTTGATTGTGTATCATGGCATGTTTTGTCATCAGGCTGGCAGAGGAACACGAGTTGGGCCCTTTATGGCACCAGGATGGACGGAGGCCGCAACGCAGCCGCAGTGCATTCCCTTGGTGGGTCGTCCATGGTCGTCCCGCCGTCCCTTGTTAGGAAGTGGGAATGGCTTCACGATGGACAAGAGGCAAATGGCTGGATTGAGCAACAACCTTGGAGCTGAGGTACAGATAGGTATAAATAGGTACAGTAGATTTATGTAGATTTCACATGGTTTCACATTGTTGCACACATTGCTCCATATCTGGCTTTCAAATATTTAACTTTCCTATCTCCTCAGGCTTGGCAGTGAAGGCCAATTACGGAGCTCCTTTGGGAGCGGTCGGGGAAGCCCGGTGTTCCGGAAAACCATGGGAAAAAATATGAGAAAACCACGGGAAAAGCATGGTTTCCTGTAAACATGTCCCTTAAACCTAAGGAACTATGCTGATTTGATGGTCAGGAATGCTCATGGACCAAGGCAAGAAGCAATGATTTTAATTGATTTGTGGGTTTTTGCGGCACAAGTCTTGTGACATGATCAACACTGTGAGTACCCAAGGTAGCTGGGAGAAGAGTGAAGACAGGCAGGGATCGAATTGTGTTTTTTGTACTTTTTTTTGTGCTAAGACGACAGCCCCTTTTTATGCGAAAGATAGATGAGACATGATGAAACTGTTGAAACCAAGGCACCACTCGCCCTTTTTTTTCGAGCCGCCAGGCTGATCATAACTTTTGGACGTCGGGGAGCTCATGCTCCAGGATTTTGGCGGTTGGGTCGACTACCTTCAATGGGCCTTGAATGGACGCCAAGGATCCTAAAACTTTTGTAGTTCTGAAAGCTGATCAACCTGTTGAATTTGGCTTTGC